TATATATATATATATATATTCAGGAGCTGGGTATTAATTTCCCAATGAATATCATTTAAATTTCGATTTGATTTTTTTTCTCGAAAAGTTACCTTCCCGAAGCTGGCCGCGTTGACTGGCTGCGTGTCGTGCTTCTCGCTGAAGTCGAGGTAGTGCATGTAGAGAGCGCTTCTCGGGATGCACACGCCTTCAGCGATCTCGTAGTTCTCCTCCAGCCTGGAGCACACAACGAACACATTCGGATGATATACAGTCAAAGTCAGCAAGACGCATATTGTACTCTACAAGTGCTGTTAAAACAGTCTCTGTCGTAGAATAGATGAGGAAATTTAGTCAAACATCAGATAACAGATAAGTCACTAAAAAGGACTAAGTACAGGTACACTGTATGCATGTATGGATGAATACGCAAATGAATAAAAAGTTGGGTGAACTCAAAATGTCAAGGCAACAAACCGATAAGATTTTAAGTTGGGCAAATCCGCAAAAATATTTTACGTTGGCTAATGTGAAAATTGGCTTTCCTGCATTTCCAACAAAGAAATAAGCTTTTACAGAACTAATTGTCCCTCATACGGTCCCCCAAATTAAAAAATAAGTAAAAACAACTCAGCAAAAAGGGACTCAAAATTTTGTCTGTATGAAATGATGCAGAACTTTCGCGGTTGTTTTTTCTGATGTTTCAAGAAGCAATGAATAAACATGAAGCGTGACAGAACACTTCTCCTTTGTCGATTAAATCCATCACACTCCCCGATCTGGCATATCAAGATGCTGATTAGACATCTTGAATATTGCACAGGTGTACCTTTGGCTGGCCACAAAAAAAAGCCGCTCAAAAATTGCCATTTGAAATGCTCACCGTGCCAGTCAGTATTTGGTCTGACGAGTAATTGCCTTGTTTCAGCAAAGGAGAAGTGATCATGATCCCAGATTTAGACAAATTTGTGATCAATACGTGAAAAAAATCATAACATACCATTCAAGAGTGGCAGGTGTCGAATGCGGTTTGGAGGCCCGGTTATTTTCTTTTTCTTCGTCTGAAATGTGGGCAAAAATGATGCTGCTCATCAATAACTGCACCCACAGTTTGATAACAAGCGTCAACTCTTGCTTGAAGTTGACGTGACATTGTTTACTGTGTGACTCACGCTCATCGGTGGACATGTTGCCCAAGGACATGTGGCTGGAGTAACGCTTGCTCTCGCTCTCATTGAGGCATCGCTCGATCCAGCTCTCTGCAGACAGAAACAGGCACGGAGTTCAATATGGCATGTGGACGGAAATCAATGCGCTTCATGTATCTGGAACAGGGATATGCAAAATTTTCAAAGTACCGTTAAATGGTGGGAGAAAAAAAATCTACAGGTAAACTTTGTGTTAGCAGTGACAAAGCAAAATGTTATTAGTATTAGCATGCTAGCATGTAACATTCTCAATGTATTTCTTTGGTTTTTTTTTTGTTTTTTTATGAAGTTGTGTTAACAACGTCGGTATTTTTTCTTCATTTTCATTTTTACAAATGGAAAGAGCCAATAGCTTGTAACTTTAAAGTAAAAAAAAAAACCATACAAATATAAAGTGACAATTTTATACCAAACCTTTCAGAGAAATAAATTACATTTGTATACGTTTTATGTTTATCTCATTGAAAAATTTGAATGGGCACCAATTATATAGAGATATTTACTATTCACGGTCGGGCCAGTACCTTTCCCCTGCGGATGGTGGGGGTCAACTGTATTTTCAATTCAAACAAACAAACAAACAAACAAATAAATAAGTGGGCTATCTTTTTAAGCTTTGAAGTACTTCACGTCAAGTTTTGGCCATGTTTTTAATGGACAGCATTATAAGCCCGCAGCATATTGTGGTCCATTGCTTGTGCCCCTGCTAAATCATATACAACCCCAGGCAAAAATTATGGAATCATCAGTCTCAGAGGGTGTTCATTCAGTTGCTTAAATTTGCAGGAAAAAAATCAGATCCCAGATAGGACACACAACTAAAGTCCCATTCCCAAAACTAACACCTGCATCAGATAAGATCTGCTCATTAACCTGGAGCTAAACGGTAGTGATCACACCGAGGAGAGCTGTTGCACCAAGTCAACTGACATGAATCATGCATCCAAAACAAGAGATGCTCAACTATCGAGCTGTGCACCTTTCGTGTAGTTTCAAGTGGTGCCACAGCATGCCATGGAGCCCTGAGGCCTACTGGAAGAGAGGCAACAGAATTAAGAGAAGCAGAGAAGGTCCCCAACCAATCTTCGGTTACGTTCCATCGTCGGGCAACGATAGAGTGGATTTTTAAAAAAATTGTCTACACAGCACTGTTCAAATGCCAGGTTTATGACTTTTAAGAATTTAGTATGCGAAAAATGTTCTACGAGTGAGGAAAAAGTGTACCAGTAAATCAACCTTAATCTGGATATCAAACATATGAAATATGTGCTCAAACATATCATCATTGAATTCGATATGCTTGCATCGTGCTAAACGGCCCTTACGATGGCTATCAAGGATGTGGCGTAAACGCTCACATGGCTTGCCCTAGCCTGGGCTCTATTTGAGGGGCTTTTTCATCCACACGGCAGGAATCCAGCCAACATTGTCCAGCCCCCCCCCCCACCAAGAAGTATTAAATTAATTAATCAGCCCAGAGAGACTTTGCTTGGTGTTTATCAGAAGAACATTAGCATTTTAATGAGAGTTGGCCCAAGGCATAAGCAAACTAAGCACCTGCTTAGTGCCCTGTGACTACAAGGGAATCCCCAAGAGCAATTAACAGTCAATAAAGCCTGTAGAAGTCATTTATTATTTTTTCTGAATTTTATTTTTGAGCAGTAATGAGGAACATAAGTAACATAAAAGTCAAATGTTTGAATGAGGTAATACATTTTTACATAATGCTCTGTCTAGTGAACTTTAGATAAGCAATAAATCCCCCCCTCCAGGCTGCCCTTCAACGCTAAAATTTGTTTTTTAACAAGACAAACAGCACTCTACAAGTACTGCACTTCAGAAACACATACAGTAACAATAGAATGTAATACAATGTAAAGATCCTTGACCACCACAAGCAGAATAATACGTATATGCGAACAGGACATACATGAAGGGGACAGTCACAACTGCTCGGTAAGCTATTTGAATGAGGTAATACATTTTTACATTATGCTCTGTCTAGTGAACTTTAGATAAGCAATGAATCCCTTCCAGGCTGCCCTTCAATGCTAAAATGTGTTTTTTTAACAAGACAAACAGCACTCTACAAGTACTGCACTTCAGAAACACATACAGTAATAATAGAATGTAATACAATGGAAAGATCCTTGACCACCACAAGCAGAATAGTACGTATATGCGAACAGGACCTACATGAAGGGGACAGTCACAACTGCTCGGTAAGCTGCAGTAAGAATAGTCGTTTACTGCTCTTGTCCGTCTGCATATGCTGCTACTTTGACTAGCCTGTTCATGACGTTTGGCATTATGTATTAGCATTAAGCTAACATAGTTTTGTAAAACAAAGTTAAATGGTTTGGTCTGATACAGTGTGTGATTCTCTGTTGTATGTTCAGTTTTACAATACATTTCATTTGGGAGTCGCAACAAAGCTTTTTTTGTTTCGGGTAACTCAGTTGACTCATTATATAGAGTATGTATTTGCTTGACATTTCAGTGTTTATTTTAATACTTTGGTTTTGCACATTTTAGGTTAATGTAAAAGAGTGGCTTAAGTAATTTTGTTGTTGTTGTACTACATTTTGTACATTGTCCGTTGCAGTTTTTTGATCCAAAAAAACAACACTCTTAAAGTAAAAGCATAATACTCTGTGGTATAGTTTTGTTACTATTAGTAGAGCTGATAGTCATGATCATACTTCATGCTACATCACTTGGAACGTCGTGTAACTCCGGTGCACTAAATATACAGTATAGTAGGTGTATGAATGATTAATAATCAATATTATTGACAGAAATAGAGGAAGCAAAAAAAAAAAAATCACATTTTGCTCGGGGCCACATGGAGGCATGGGCCATTTTAATGAGATACAACTTTGTAGGGCTCCCCTTTTCTTCCACACGAACATTGATAGGATGTGACAAGCATAGCAGCTGTTGTTGGGACGCACCATTAGCAGGAGGGGTCGGGGGGGTCACAGATATTAAAAAGTGTTTTGGGTGCATGGGGGACGGAGAATGTATGATGAAGGGAACACGCACGAGCATCCCAGCAGGGGACAAACATAACAAATGTCATTATTGTCATCGTCATTATTATCATCAGTGGTAGTAGTTGTATAACAAACCCCCCGTTTGGCCGTGGGGGATATGTTCCAGACCCACCAACGATTGGTGAAAATCCACAATATGGAGGCTGTCAAGAAATGGGAAACAATCGTATAACGCGGAAAGAGTCTCACTTGCACCGTTCTCCGAATAAGAGACAAAGCATACTTGCTTCAAGCTGTTGACTGTAAATCTGACACATATGCCATAGAGGGGCGAAAGGTCATTAGCATCAATGTTACGGTAATTATAAACCTGTAAAAAAGTATTTTACTGGAACACTCTAAGAGCAGCAACACACGCAGTCCAACGAGCAACAATTTTCACAGACATACTGTATATATCCATTCTTTGGGAACAACTATTATTGGAGCTTAGTTGGGGACCTTCTCTGTCACTTCTTCTTGGCCTTAATTATGCTGCATGTCTTCCAGTTGACACAGTAGCACTGTGATACAGTCGTAATAGCAGTAAGGATTGCCATAACATTAGGTACACCTGTAAAAACTAATGGAGGGTGGACAAACCGCAAAATTTGAACTCCATTCTCCATGCTTACCATCAACAGGGTTGCACACTGAGCCGTACAGCCACCAGCAAAGACATCTTAAAACTATTCGTTAAATTTACCACAACTTCAGTACGCAACTCCAAAATGACGACGAGCTTCAACTCTTAAGACCGCCCAAATCCAGACTTCAACCCAATTTGCTGGGTCAAAAATAACCAATCGACTCAAAATCAAGAGGGGCAGATACATGCAGAAACTCAAGACATCCGATGACCCATTTTGGCTCTTCCATCACTCCAGACCAACATCGCACTATTCTTTAGTCCTGTATGTGCACCATCAAAATATGCTTTCTTCTCAATTTAGCCAAAACATGAGGTACACCACTGCACAATCAATTTGGAGCCAAAAGAAAAGCGATAATGCCAGTGACTGTAGACGACCACAATGTATTTCTCCAAGTCCACTGTTTTTCCATGAAGCACATGCGCCACCAAAAAAAAGTCCATTACTGCCATTTGGAACAAAACATTAGGCAGACCTGCATGTACTAATAACACGCATTTCATTTCGATATGCAGGGCCAAACCATTAGATCATCCAATATATGTTATACGACAGCTAAACCATTCTAAAAATATGGTTTCCTCTCATTTTGGTACAGTCGAAACATTAGATCCATAATCTAAGATTCAATACAAAAGCTAGAATGGGCAATTTGGGCGTTTTTTTTTTTTTTTTTTAAACTTTGCCACCAATTTCGAACTTTAAAAAATGTTGAGGGTTTTTTTCCTGTATCAAAACTCCCTAGTCTTAAAATAATAAAAATAACAAACTAGGCATAAGCCAAACCGCAGCCAAAAAACTAGGATTGATTAAAAAAGTTCATTACTCACTGTTTTTTTCTTCATATATCTTTGCAAAAAAAATGCTACTCTTAAAGAAAAAATATTGAAAATAATTTCATTTAAAAAATAATAACTAATAATAACTAGATCTAAGCAAGCCACAACAACAAAAAAAGACATTACAAAAAAATTTAAAAACATAACAAATGTTAGTAAATCCCTCCTGAATTGAGTGGAAGGAAGAGTTTGAACTTTTCCTACGAGAACGAATATAGTTGAAAAGAGAACGCTTCATTTTTAAGAACAAACTTTTAGATGCAAAGCGGGCCAAAACATTAGGTACATGATCTAGAAAGATTCCATATTACAAGCTACAATTCTGGTTGTAGACACACCACAACCAGCCGGGGCATCCTCCCAATTGTCTATGACCGTCAACCAAACAACAAGCCTGATTCATTTGCTTTCTTCTCACTGACACAGCAAGTGGGCCACAATATTCATTAGATTCAAAACAAATATCATTCACTTGGTATCAAGATAATAGAGCAATTTTGTTTTTTATGGCTTTTTACAGTAACCAGGCAAGTCTAAATTTAAAGTTGCATCCGTTGAGTCTTATGCCGCAACATGCCAGAAGAGATGCAGCCTTAGGGAAGAAGAGGCAGAGAAGGTCCCCACCCAAACTCCAGTCATAGTCATTATTCCCACAGAGCAGAGAGAATATATTGCCTGTGAATATTTTTGGATGCTCCGTTTCTGTTACCGCTCTGTGTGTGTGTTAAAGTAGCGGCGGCAGGCTGGATTTATAATTACCGTAACATCTATGTAAATTCCCTTTGCCTGTTTATGCCATTTGGCACTACGTTAGCATTAAGCAAGCGGACATTTGTGAGACCAAACATGGTTTGGTTCAACATTTTTGTGTTTACATATCCAATATTTCATATTCTTCTGTTTGAAACACTGTTTAACATTAACTTTAACGGGGGTGAACAAATAAACGGCTTGAAGCAATCCCACTTGGGGTCTTATTTGGAGAACGGCGATAGAGTGGAAACTTAGAAATTCTTTAAAAAGTATTACATAAAGTGTAACGTGTTTTAATGACTTTGTCTTTAAAGGCTAAAACTATTCCAAAAAATACATAGTCTCTCGATATCACAAATTTTCACCGAAAACAAGTCAGTCTGGTACGTACTTCCTGCTCTCAATTGGGGGTTCACTCTAATGCGCAATTGTTGAGCGACGGTATCAGAGCTATTGATTTAACAGTGTATGGTTATTTAACAATTGTTCTATCATACAAGTCTCATTTTGACAATCATAAATGAGCAACACGTAAGAAAAAGCTCTTAGCCACCCAAAAACAAGAATAAATAAAAAGTTGTCAGACAGGCGTCAATCAAAAATGAGCATTTGAGCATTGGTATCATTGTCTTGGAGCGCGGACCGGGATTGTGCAAGTTTGGTTTTAAATAGCCGTGCTAATATGCTAATTGATGTTACACAACTTGGACCGAACCCTTGTTTTTCCATCTGGGCAACAGCACAAACACAACCTCTCCGGGCCTCCAGCAGAAGATTGTGATCTTATTTTATTGTTCTGATTTGATTACCGGTAAATTAAAAAAAACGTGTGTATGTGTGTGTGTGTGTGGGGGGGGGGGTGCATGGTGGGTAAGAAGAAAAAAAACAAAACAAGTAAAAGCAGCTGAAGTGAAGCTAATTCTCCACACAGGCTTCATTTGTCTCGGGGGAAGATAAGTACGGGACGGAAATAATTGGATTAAAGTCGATCAACAAGTGGGACGGATGTTCACACATTTCTGAACACACACTGTGGACTAAGTGACCCGACACACACGGCCGGCGTGCACCTGCATGCTCAATCACAAAAATGCCTTTCAGTGGAGGGAATGACACTGGCACTGTTAATTTTATTGCTTCATAAAGTGGTGAGGAAAACGAAACAACAAGTTTTCACTGACTTGATACAACTTGGAATGTTTGCGAAAAGGTGACTGGCCACTTTTGTCGCAGCTGCTATTTTAATTCGGTATGGTTGAAGTAATATTTAAAAGGAACAGTTTCAATTTCTCAAGGTCTAAATGTGACGAACTCTTAATTTACATTTGCCAAACAAACTGTAAGATTTTTGTTCTATTTCAAACTTTACTACGAAAAAAAGTGGCCCATCATTGAACTTTTGTTACTGTTGCTTCTACTTCATCTCACCCCCACTTATTTATTAAGCCTTTTGCACTCAATTTTAAGGTTTCACTTTAAAACGGTAAATTCATCCTGAACTCTAATCACTGATACATATTTTGTAAAAATTCATCCGATTTTGTCAAAACATCACTTCACTCACCCTTTTCTAAACTTCAACTTTAAAAAAGGACCTGACAGATTTTCTGACTGTATTTAAAATTTTTTTAAGATAGATTTTTTTTTTTAAGGAAAAGCTGCTGAATGACTAAAAACTGACCACACACCAAATATTTTTTCTACACTTCATGACATTACTACATTTATTAAAGATGCAACATAAAAAGACATTTCTGTTATTCTATTCGTTCCCTCATTTAAACTTTAAATAAGTGACGCATACATCGGCAAATCTGAGCATACTTGTGTTTGAATGACTCCACATTGTATTTCTCCTCTACGGTTTTATCACTGCTGTTCATTCTTTTTTTTTTTTAATTCCTGAATTGAATGTTTTTTTAGCTATTGTGTCTTCTAATATAAATTTAAGGAAAAAATATATTTTGCAACAAATGACCCTTTTCTAAACGAGAAACACAAACACACAAAAACTAACCTTATGTAAGTTTAGTTAAGTAGCCAGCCACTTAAGAAACAATGCAAAATAAAATTGATTACAATTTACAACTGGAGTGAAATTATTTGGATAAATTACCACACTCCCCTGTTCTGAAAAACTACACCTAACTAAAAAAAAAAACACAAAAAGAGAAAAAAACAACAATGAGAAAAAAGCTAGAATTTAGAAAAAAATACTTTAAAAATGAAAAATCACTCCTGAATTTCGATATTTTTTAGCAAAAATGTTCCTACAGATTTAAACTTCACAAAAATTGAAAAATTTCGGCGAAAAGAGGACATATTTTTTAAAAATAAAATAAGAAAAAAACAAACTAGAAAATATAAAAAGTTACTCCTGAATTCACCCCCAACCCCATCAATGGTCAACCAACTTCAATGGCCCTCTCAATTTTCAAAGAAAGAAATTTTCCAAAAAAATGAAGAATTTAGGTCGAACTCCGAAAAAAAACTAAATAAAAAAACAACTAGACGGAAGCCAAAAAAACCCAAAAAAAAAACAACTAATATTTTAAAAACACTATTCCAAAAAATTTAAGTTACTCCTTACTAGAAACTGTTCCTCACATAACAAACCTTCCAAAACGGAAAAAGTTGGCAGAAAAAAAAACAGCTACAAAATAAACTATTTAAAAATACAATAATGTTTTAACAAGACATGTCTAATTCTTAAAAAAAAAAAAAAAAAAACAGAATTTATGTATTTGAAAAATGCTCCAAAAAATATACTTGCAACTGTTTTTATAAATTCCAATCCGTTCCATACAATTTGAAAATTTTCACCCCAAAATTAAGTTCAGCTGAAAAGAACAGCAACTGTACACTTTCCAAAAAAAAAAAAAAAAAAAAAAAAAAGCAATAACTGGACACATGCCATCGACAGCCCTTAAATGGGGAAAAAAACTACAATAAATAAATGGATGAATGAAGCTGAACTGAATTGCAAACATTTGCTCCAACTTCCCCCCAAAAAAAAACGAGGACACGATCTGAAAACAGCAAAAATCGGACGCCCGACTTCCCTGTCTTTCAGGGCGCTTCCCATTGGGAACTTCCCCAAAGCGCTTGACACGAGGCCCGAGGCGGCCCGGAGGCATCCCACTGACCTGTGGAATCCATGTCAGGCTCCTCCAGCAGCCCGCAGTGCATCCTCTTCCCATCCAGCACTCCTCCCGGTAGAAAACGGCTGCCACTTTCCTCTCTCCTCCTCCTCCTCCTCCACCTGCTCTCTATCCTCGCCCGGCTTGCCGTCTCCGCGACCACTGGCCGTCGGAGGGAAGATGCTGAGACTCTTAGTGGACGAGAGAGAGATAGAGAGCGAGCGAGTGTGGGTACGTGTGGGTGGGGAATGGTGGGGAACCGTAGTGGGTGGGTGGGTAGGGGGGGTGTTTTGGAGGGTCCTCCAGAAATCCAGCGGGGGCAAAGGCAGAGCCGTCAAAATGTTTGCTGATGTTTCATGGGAAAAGGGGCTGATTTTATAGGAGCCCTGATGGGGACATGTCATTGATAGGCTTGCGGGGCTGATGAATGGCCCCCGAGTCAGATGGGGATGTGGCAAGGCTCACTGGAAGTCTTTTGTGGGCCTCTTTTGAATAAGAAAAGCTCCCCTCCCAAGAAAAAAAAAAGAAAGGGGGCGAGGGGGCGCTCCCCATCCTCCATGATGGCATTTCATACGCTTTCACACCACACACGGCTCTCACTTCCAAAGTATCCAAACGCGGTTGCTCAGCTCGGAATCATCATTTCCAACGCCTGGATTTGAAAACACACAAGGAAGTTTAGTTGCATGGAGTCACTCACCAGCTATGTACATTTTGCAATACTTGGTGGAGCATTTATTCAATATCCTTGATACCCAGCGTGAGGTCCATGTACGAGCACGCTCTTTGTCCTCACGAGTAGGACAATTCTGTGCACTAGTAAACAACAAGGGTGCATTTGTCTTTTCTACTTGTGGTGCCACTTTTGGCCTTCTAGTAAGTAGACTTTAAGATGGATATGGAAGAGAGCTGAACCATTTTGAAAAATAATCGAATGCAATTTTGTTTTTTGTTTTTTAATGTGCAAATTCTTTTTTTCAAGGCCGCCTTCCCATGTCTTTTTTTTTCTCAAGCACAGAACTTAGCTAGACACTATAAATTTAGAAACATACAATAATGTAAGAGGAAAAAAAGCCTACTGACCAACCGAAATAAGCCTTTTCTTTTTTCCAAAAAAAAAAACGCAGACTTTGTGATTTCAAAATGGCATTGCTATGTTGATTTCAATTTGATTAATTGTGTAGCCCTAATATTAAGGATATAAAATAAATGTATTCAATATCTATGAGATTCAGCTTAGCACGGACGGTACTTTTAGGACCTTGAGCCGGATATCCAATGTATAAAATAAATGCTTTAATGACATTTGTAAATGTATCAGTGTGAAAAATGTATGTGTGTATACCAGGGGTGGGCAATTTAAATGATGGAGGCGACCACAATTTTTCATCAGCACTATTCGAGGGGGGTGTGGTGAGTCACATTGGAAGAGACACTTCCTAATCATATATATATCTATATATATATATGATTCCATCAAAAAAAAATATCTGGCAGTATTAGACCATCGAAAGGTGAATGGCGATATTCCAACTTAAAACAGTGGAACCCGTTATTCGTGGAAGATAGTCAGCGGGGTGGCCAGTAGCGAAAATCTGTGTATATTTGACGGCCATTAAAATGCATTAAAATAATAATAATAAAAAAATAATAACACAAAAAAATTCTACAGAAAATACTAATTGACCATTTTCCATGAAAAACAGGGGTTTATTCTGAAAAACAAAAGACAAGAACTAAATTTTCTTAATAATTGAAAAAAATTATTGAAAAAAAGGAGACCTGTTTATTATCTCCCTCACCCCCAAAAAACATCTATTAACCAAACTGTACATGCTGATGAACTCCTAATCCATTTTGACTGAACTTTTTCTTCATTGTCTTTTTTTTTTTTTAACCTGCCATTTGAACTGTGCATGGAAATGAGCCAAAAAGCCATAAACTGGCATGGACCATCTAGTTGAATGTTCCAAATCAAATCAAATGAACTAAACTCAAAATGTGCATTCGGGACATGTACACAAACGTACGGAGTCATTTAGGAGTATTAAGTATGCAATAGTGCAGTACTACTGATTTCCTGTCAGGGGGTTTATCACCTCAACCTTATTTTGGTGCGCCTGCGACAAGCAGGGGGGGGACAGTCACAAAAGGAGGGGAGGCAAAGAGAAGAGAAAGTGAGTGAAAAAAAGGGGGGCGGGGGGTAAAAGTGTAAAGCCCCAGGCTGGTCGGGGCTCTGATGGAGTGCCTGAGAGCTGGAGAAGGGAAAGCTGTGATTAGAATATGAATGGAACCACAGGAGAGGAGGAGGAGGAGGAGAAGAAGAAGAGGAGAAAGGAGGATTATGGCTGAATTACTCACCGCAACGTAGAGAGGACTTTTTCGCTGGACATTTTTTTTTCTTTTTTTGTACCCACAAGCCACCTGGGAAGTTGCGACACACACTCACACACAAGCAAAAAGATGTTCAAAGTGCACATTAAGGCAAAATACACAAAAGTCAGATAAGGAGGATGTCATTAATTGCGGCCAATTAACAAGGACAGGTGCATCCTTCCTCTTATCACGTGCACGCTCACAAACGGGATGTGCACGCCTTTTGTCCCATTGCTAAAGTCCCCAATTGTGTGTGTGTGGCATTCAGGCTTTGATGGGAGGAAATCATACGTCCAAAAAGGGATTTTGTCGACTTGACATGAATGTCACTCAATACAAAGCAGGTTATGACATCATCACAGGAGCTTTTATCAGCGACAAGCAAAACAAACAAAGTCCTTTCATTCATGATTTCAACTCTGAAATCAAACTGGGGGACAAAGGGGATTTCATGTTATTATATTGGCTTTATCACACTGCTAATTACCAATGTTTTCGTGAGGAAAGGAGCTTCTACTATACGGGTCAAAGCCCTATATTGCGGCATTTAAATACATTTTGAAAGGGTCATCAATTGTGGATTTCGACTATTTGCGGCAGGCCTTGGTCCCAATCAGCTGCGAGTAGCAGAGGGTTTTTACAAAGTCTTGTGAATGTCAACATTCAGGCAAAAATGAGCCAAAGCAAGAGTTGCATGTGAGAAACAATGTCAAGTATTTATTATGTACACAAACTATGATCATACTGCAGAAATATTATCCACATCGAAGAACAAAAAAAAAAAAAGTGTGAGAAAAAGAAATGTTAGGCGTTTGCCTGTTTCCCTGGTGCTGCTATTCGTTGTAGCGCGACAGCTTGAGTCGGGGGATGATGTTCATGGACTGCAGCTCCTGAAAGAGCAGCTTGCAAGCGTAGGGGATGCGCAGCGACGACACGTGACATGACGACTTGCAGTAGTGACACCTGTGGGAGGTTGGGGAGCAACCGAATAGTAAGACGGTACCTGGTACCAGGCTGTGGATCATTTTACAACAATATATTAAAACAGGGGGAAAAGAGTCACAATTTAGGACTGTCCATCCTTCTAGGACACCTGTCCAAGTGGACAGGTCTCCAATCCCAAAAAACCCCAAATGTCTTAAAACCAAATGGACAAGTAACTTACTCTATATGTGACTTACATTCGTCTTGCACTACAATTAGAATTAATAGTGCATTTAAGCATCCCGACGTGTGTGCATCTTACCAGCCAGAATAACCCAGAAGGCCACACTGCCCGCACACGTCCACCTCAAAGGCATCGCTGGAGATCATGAGGCGCTCCAGCAGCAACATGCTGGCGCCGTAACCGATCAGACAATCGCGCTCCATCTCACCCAGACGCAAACCTCCGTCTCGAGAGCGACCTTCTGTCGGCTGCCTGAAGACGAACCGGGGGGAAAATTAAGCTGTGTTCTTTGTCAAGAGTCCCTCGCAAGAGCGTGGAAGTAAAAGCTTACCTGGTCAGGACGGCTCGGGGACCACGCGCTCGGGCGTGCATCTTGTCCAAGACCATGTGCTTCAGTTTTTGGTAATACACGGGTCCAAAGTAGATGTATGCCTCTAGTGGCTCACTGAGGGGATACAATATAAGCCAGTTTTTTTTTTCTTCCTTCTTAAATGAATGTCCCCCGGGCTTTGAGTTTCACACTTATCGTGTAAACATATGGTATAAAAGACCCACTATCCTAACCCAACAACAAGGGTTTGAAGCAAACAACAAAATAACCACACACCGTAATTCTTTTTTTCTGGTGCAAAGGACTAACCCCCCCCCCCCATAAAAAACAACCAATACCACACCCAAAATAAATAAATAAATGGATAAATAAATACATAAAATCCCATTCAAGGGCGGCACAAAACTGCTGAACAAGAAACCAATAAGCACAAGAACTCATTTTGTACATTTTTTCACAATAGTTAACTTATTCCAAACTTTAATATTATTGTGTTACTATGCTTGTCCTGCATGTCATTCCGAAACCGCCAAAATATTTTCGGCATACTCATTTTGCAGTATAAGGCAAAGTGTAACTAAGACTCCTGCAATCGATCGCAATAGATTTGTTTTCAAAATCGTTCAGCCCTAATAAGATGCAACATTTCAAAATGTAATGTGATATCCATAGTGATGTTTACCCAGTGATGCCAGAGGTAACGTAGTCCTTCCCCTGGTAGTTGTATCCATAGCGGATCAGGTCCTCGCACACATCCTTCACTTTGCTGCCCCCGAAAGCCGTCCCGTAGTGGAAGCGTCCGTCCAGGACTCCCGCCTTGCCGGCCAGCAGCTCGATAAGCTTCCCCACCTGACACGAAAAAGTTTGTGTTTATTAGTGCTTCTGTTTGTCACTCATGTTCCACTCCTTGATACCATAAGATGCATGAGATCAGGGCTTCCGAACCTGCATAGAGCCAAGACCCACATTTTAAGATTAGAAAATGACCTCTCACAACACACTGGTTGGGAATCACAGCATTAGGGAACACGTGTAACTCCCAGCTGAGGGTGACTGATTTTGGCAATTTGGCTAAGGTTGCCCCCGCACAACCCTTGACCCCACCACATAAAAGGCCGACACCTACTCTCCTTCTGGGGAGATGTCCTCCGCAGCCAAACATTGCTGAGCGCTCGCCATGGCGATGGCGGCGGCTAGCAACCACGCTGGCACCGGCAAGTTGAGCAGTAAAGATCACTGCTGATTTTACAGGCAGAGACGCTGCAAACGTTTTCTGTGAACGTTTGATAAAACTTGCAACACCCTGGTGGCGTCCGTCGCCACGGCAACGGCTATCTGTTTGTGCGGTGCAGTCATACTGTCGTTCAGTCAAAAGGACTAGAGCCCTGGGTGACAATGATAACCTCAGGAGGAGATAATGAGGCTTTTGTAACCCTAATGGGATACACACAGATATGGTTTTGAATACAAAAATCTGGCACAAATTGGAGTCGTTAGTATGTTTTTCTTGTGTGTCAAAAGTTCTCTATATGACAATTTCCTTCGATTTGTTTTTCAAATCTATCCTTGGGGTGGGGGGTTCTATGTCTGTGTGTGTGTGTGTGTGTGTGTGTGTGTTAAGATTATTATATTTTTATTTGTTAGTGCACACTGCACCATAAGCATTCAATCAGTTTCACGTTCACAAAAAAAAAAAAAATTATTTCAAAAATATAATAAAAAAGGAGTTGACCTTTAACCAACTGTGTCATGCGACCTGCATCACCGCAAGTGGTTAGCGGTCAGCAATCTGCAATTGCAGCTTGCGATTAGAACTGTTGCAATATATCAGTTTTTTTCCTTTTTTTTTTAAATTCTCATTCAAAGTTAGTTTCATCTGCAATTCACCGATGGCACTGGCAAAGAATGGGTAACTGGAGCACCAGGAGAAGCATTTTAAAACGGTACACGAATGAACAATAGTTTTTGCACTTAACACGCTGCAAGAGTGCGTTTCCCGTTTTCTGTTTCGTTCATGTTAGGGGCCATTACGGCTGTTGCTCATCATGGCATGCGTATGTGTGCGTGCGTGCGTGCACGTGCGGTAACGGGTCGATCGCGGAGGATTCTTGCTTGAAAAGTAGATCTTCAGTTGGGCATCCCTGAACTATCTCCCATACAAGTGCAATGGCACCTTGACTTACAAGTGCCTAATTCCGGGTTTTTCCAGTTGCGAGTTATCGATTGGTCAATATTTTGCTTCGTGTTGAGAGTCAAAATGTTTGATGCACTTCCAAAGGTTTATTCAACAACACTAACAGACAGACGCACAAATACAAAATGTGATTAGCTCAAATGTCCTTATATTTCAGGGTAATTACGCCATCTGTTGCATAACCAAGCACTTGACAGCCCAAAATTGTACATTGGAATGTGCCATACTCTCTCTCTCTCTCTCTCTCGCTCTCTCTCTCTCTCTATCTCTCTCTCTCTCTCTCTCTCTCACACACACATGGGAGTAAGGTCATAATTACAGTAAATATTTGTACGGAAAACACTTGCAAGCCATAAATACACAGCAATCACATATTCCCACATGACTACGTATTCCTACGCGTTAACTGCACACCGTTCGTAACCTTGGAACTGACTATGTTGGCACGGTCGTAAACCGAGGAGTAATAGATGCTGAAAATAGCATACCGTCATTCGGGAAGGATAGCCATGTGGGTTCATGATGATGTCGGGACAAATGCCCGTGTCACAGAAAGGCATGTCCTCTTGGGGGACGATGAGGCCACAGACACCTGAAATATACAAACGCGTTGTTATTATTGTAAAGTATTACTAGTACAGCTTCGTTTTTGTCAGATGTTTATCCGTTTACTGTGTTTTTGTCCTTTTTTTTTGGGCTATATTTTTGCCTGAGTTCTGTTCAAGGTTTTTACTGAATTTTGTTTTGCCGGATTTTTTTAATTGAAGTTTTTGTTGTATTTTTGTCATTTTTTTCGCCACATATATTTAATTCAACTTACTGCATTAGTTCCAATCCTATCTTTTTCTTAGTGTGGACTTCTGCTGGATCATTTCCTCTCTCATGTGGACAGACGGGCTCGCCTTTATGATTCGTCAAGCAGCCCCGTAGACGAGAGTTTAAGTGGGAGTGCAAATGTTTGCGGAGGGGGCCACGGTACTCTTGCCTGGCCAGGACAAACAGATTTTAGGCCCATTTGCAAATGAAAAAAAAAAAAAAATAGGGAACACAGAGAATGAGAAGCAGAGCAGGAAATGGAGAAAAGGTGCTTAAACTCGACAGTGAGAGCAGGATTACACATGGCCAACCCTCAGCTCAACTCAGAGGAAGTAGAGGGTGAGCATTTGGAGGGGAGATATTGAAACCTCTGCACGTGGGAAAAAAAAAAAAAAGATAAATCCCTTTTTTGGCCTGCCTGGCCCATGTCACTGACTGCTAATGTTGGGCAGGATGTTGCGACAGGATGTTGACCGGCAACAAGCGCTGCGTTTTACTGGAAAGTCGTCCAGCAGCAGGAAGCTGCAGTCTGAATGGGAGCGGGAGGAAGGCCAACATAGTCAAAGGAGTGAGGGAGCGAGTAAACGTGTCGAAGAAAAATATAGAAAGCGGGGTAAAATAGTGGGGAAGGTGAACGGTGAGGACCGGGCAGCGGTTCCCATGGCAGACGTGCTCTGTGTTGTTTGTTTTGTGTGAAAGTGGATGATAAAAGAGGCATGAAATCAGCAGAGAAAAGCGAGACAACAGCGAGGGTCCAGCGCCCTTCATCACAGCACTTACAGCTCCATGCTGGCGGCTTGCACAATGGACCACCCCCCTCTTTCTCACTACGTCCAGCACACACACACAACCTACAGCTGTGTGTGTATGTGTGTGTGACCGGTAAATAATTAACTTATTCTGCTCTGTTGACCGGGACTTATAGAACCAGTCATGAGAACCTGGTGGACACTCACATTCACTATCTAATTAAATAACAAAAACATATAGGTTATACGAAAAATTAAAGAGACCACCACCAACCGGAATATTCAAAATTCAGATCAATACCATCATGGCTACTAAAACTGGGAGATTTATTGATTTTAGTGATTCATTTTAATGAATTTATTATTTTTAATGCCAATTTTATTGATTGAAATGTTGGAAACTTTTCATAAGGAGTATGTGAGTCCAAGCTGCAAATATTTTGTCATGGTGATGTGATAATGGTAAATTATTGAACATTCAAAATACTAATAAAGTAACAAGCTAAAAATAAGAGATTTTGTTCCCAAGAAGTAGCGCTTCTTTTCACATTATCTGTAAAAATATGTTTTGTTTTTTTTTTTTATTTAAAATGTGTGGAAGTTGATTACTTGGGGGGAAAAAATGACATAGTTTGCTAGTTATCAGGAGAAATAAAGTATGTGCCAGAAATTGGGGGAAAAAAAACTTGCTCTGAATAATGTCATTGTCATTTGCTTTTCCTCTAAACGAAGGAAAAAGGATTGAAATGACAAATCACTTTTTTTAAACAACAAAAAATACATTTTACATTGTCTCTCCATCAAAACGTAATGAGTTCTTTTTTGACTTCATGGTAGCTTTTGCTGCTGACAATCTTCTCTACAGTAAGTGACCACCTTGACAAAATCCCCCACCCGGACTAACCCTTCGGTGACCCCGCGCTCTCCGTCACGATGCGAGACAGGAGACATTGTCCCGTTCTGAGCTGACCGCCCTGTGGCCACCGCCTTAATGAAGAGAGTAAATTATGCACGGCGCCAGTTAGCTTTTTTTGATTAAAACATCATAGAGGCACCTCTATAGGGGAGGTTCCGGCCGCCAACAATGAAGGTTGTAAACACTTTTTTTTTTAGGCCAGAATACTGTTGGGGTGTAATAAATTTGCATAGTCTGGCACAGGACAAAGAGCCAATTAATTGAAAAGAGCTCTTGAGGGATGAGGACACATGCAGTAGGGAGGGAGGGAGCAAGGGATTCAACAACCTGTGGAGTTGTCTTGTGCAACAGGTTTCCCTTGCCCCTCGCTCACCTTTCTGTCCGTGCCGACTGCTGAACTTGTCCCCGATCTCGGGCCTCCTGGTTTGCCTGAGAAGAATCTTGATGAGGAAGGCGTCTTCGGCGTTGGACGAGATCATCACCTTCTCAATGTATGAGTCTGTTGAGCCCTTGTAGCTGCAAAGCGAGAGGGCAACTTATTATTTACAGCCAAAAAAAAAAAAAAAAAAACAGAAAATAGCACATTCCTAATATTCATTGAGCGAAATTTTACCGAAGAAAATCTCACAAAAAGGTATAGTTAGTAGCAGCTTTTATTTTTGAAAAAGAAAAACAACACAAAATTATATCAACACAGGGAAGAAAAGAGTAGTGAAAGAATATTTTATAAAGAGTAACTGTTTGTTAGGATAAGTCAAATCCCACCAACAGCTGTTTTGTTGTATGTGTGCCTTGAGGAGGCGTTTCTGGGTGAGTGACGTAAGAAACATGACTGGTTAGTTTCGTGTGAATTTCTCAACGTGAGAGCTGGCTTATTGTAGCTCTTTGTTAGTGTTCTCTAATATTCTAACTGTATCGCCATAAATACTGAAGCAATGACTTTGCATAACTTCAAATCAAATTTGGGCTTGTTTAGTTCAACACAAAGCTATATATTTTTTTGTATGAATGGCAACAGGTGGAGACACAGGAAAACTGTATCCTCAGCCGTCTAGTGGAAGTGCATTTCATTGTGTCTGCCTGTCACTCACAAAATGTCAGGGAGGGTCCAGGGTACAGTATAAGTTTTGCCTGAAGTCAGCTGGGAGAGGCTGCAGCTCCCCACAACCCTGACAAGGATAAGCAAACGGATGGATGGATTAAGCTCACCTGATGGGCACTTCTCTGTATTGAGGCTGGCCTGGCTGGGTGCTGCCCTCCAGTGGCGTCTGAGTGACGGTCGGCATGGATTTGTTTACCAGCACCTGCTTGTTCTCAACTCGCTCACCTGCAGCGCAACATGGGAGCACAATTGCCAGAGTTCAAAGCAGTTGCTAGTTGCAAAGGGTCCTCGGTTTATGACGTCAACAACAGTTTTGAGATTAGGAATGGTGCACAAATAAACAGTTCGCTGGATAGTGTGAAAATACAGGGTCACACGGCACACAAAAGCGTGTTCAGTTACTGACTGACTTGCATTTTTGTGTTTGATTGTTTCATACTTTTTGTTTTACCTTCCTTTAATGGAATGGTGCAAAAACGTGGTCCATTATTTTGGTATCTTAAAACTCATTTGCTAAAGGAAATGAAAAACAAGTGATCGAATTATACTGCTGAGTGGAAAACAAACAAAACTTGTAACATTCTAATTCTAAATATTTGAGAAGGGCCGTCGATTACTTGCGCTTTCCGCGGCAGGGCTCAGCTCAATAAAGTTAAGTCCACCAAATCATGCTGGGCAACATCCGGTCCTCCAGCTACTCACCTGGGGAGCAGATCCCATCAGCGTCCAGGACGTTGTGTCTCCAGATGGGCTTCCTGGTGGCAGCATCAAGCATGGGGCCCAACACCTTATCGAAGGTTTGGTTGGTGTAACGCCGAAGGGTGCACTTGGCGTTTTTGTACACCAGACAACGACCAAAACCTGAAGGGAGCATCGGTATTAGTACTGGTGGAAGATGAGGGACAGCATCTCAATTTGTAACTTAGTTCCATGAAATTAAAATAATTTGACTCCAGCCAATTTTCCTTACTTCATAGCATTTCTCTTGGCTAAACTGCTTCTAATTCATGTACAAGGATGTCTCGATTTCAAAGATGTCCTAGAAGGGCCAGTGTGCTGGCCCAGGCTGACATCTGCATTTCTCTATCTTCTGATTGGGTGCTCAGCCCAAAACTTGTTACAACCAACTTAAACAAGCAAAAAACCCTCTGTAGCGATTTAAACACATTAATAATAATTTCATGTTGTTGTCATCTTATTAGATAAAGATTGTGGTGTTATTTTTTTATTTTTGTCCAGGATGGACTTTAGGTGTTCCTTTGTCAACTGTCCCTCACCTCTGTCCAGCGATGCTTTATTGAGGACCAGTGCGTCCTCGATGTCGTAGCCGCTGTAGCTCATCACGGCCACGGTAGCGTTCTGACCAGCAGGAAGCTTCTCAAAGTCGATCAGCTCAATGGTTTTGGTTTTGACCATAGGCCTCTGCGGGTATGCCAGCAGGTACATCAGCGTGTCAATGCGGTTCCTCTGGTTGTAGCCAATCGTACCTAGAGACAGGAATGCTCACTTTTTATTGGCACCGTCAGAGAGATACTCATTTCAAAATATAGCAGTTTTGTTGATTGTAGCTTGATGTTGCGTAGGAGTACACTGCATCAACTGAGAGCTACTTCAAATACGGATGTCTTTCAGCGCTGAGGTCTGCTCGGAGAGATGCAGAGTAATTAACAGCAATAAGAAGAAGCACAAAGGTCCTGACCTCATCTCTAGAATAGATAATTGTAGTACCCACAAAGCAAAAACAAAATAGATGTCTGTGAGTATTGTTATATGTTTCTATTTTGCCATTTCTTGTACATAAAAGGTTCATAATTACTAAAACATTTATGCTAGTTTTTTTTTTTTTTTTTTAGCCCAACCCATTTCCCCTGCTAGCATTAAGCCAGGGGTCCCCAACCGCCGGTCCGCGGACCGGGACCGGTCCGCAGGGCATTTGGTACCGGGCCGCACAGAAAGAACTTGCCTTTTTTCCGTTTTATTAATTTCGGATTGCGAAATGTTTTATTTTGAAAAATTACCGGATTCTCTGTTACATCCGTCTGTGTCACGCTTGACTCACGTCAAGGCACACTTCTCGGTCAGGTGACCGATGACGCTCATAAACAAAAGGCTGAAGCCCGCAAAATGAGTAAAAAAGCTGCTTGGAGATCGCAAATGACGGCGGCCTTAAAAGTACGTTCGAAACAACTGGATCAAAGTTATGGCTGAATACTCTGAGATCGCCACAATAGCACTGTTGCTATTTCCGACATCCGACCTGTGTGAGGTGGGGAGTTTCTGCAGCAACAGCGACTAAAACAAAATTACGAAGTAGACTCGACATAAACCGCACACTTGAGGTGTCATTGTCTCCTATTACCCCGAGATGGGACTGTCTGATTGCAGAAAATCAAGCTCGGGGCTGTGGTGAGTCGTCATTTTCATGCACTTTGAATTTGCGTTGTATCGTATTTTGAAGGCATTAAACATTACCAGAGCGATAAGAGTGTTGCGACCACATTAGACGCTCCTGTGTTTATTATTATATTTCGAAAACACCACAGTTTTCATGCAGCTCATACCATATTATTTTGTTGTATTAGTCCGCCACACCTTAAATGCCGGTCCCTGAAAATATTGTCTGACTTAAACCGGTCCGTGGGGCAAAAAAGGTTGGGGACCCCTGCATTAAGCTATCTGATTTTCACTACACCAAATTATGAGGATAGAAAATGAATAGAAGTGCTTTTTATTCTCTTTTGTTTTATGTTACAGGTTTACAGTAAAATTCAGAGCTTGTGGCAAGCCTGCCTTACTTCTTTTTTTGAGAACTATTGATCCACACTTTCTCCATTTTGCCTCAGTGCTATGGTAGAATCCCTACAATATATGAGTTGCGAAAGTCAGAACAGGCACTCAGGAATCTAAAAGGTACCACCCACGATAAATTAGTAACCTCCTCTGAATTTTTAAATGTCTCATTACTTTGATGGCCATTTCAGTCAACTCCGAATAAGAATTTTGGGGTTTTTGGGGGAGCAGTTTTACTTCGCCAGTGAGGCGGAACTGGCTGAGTTATGGCATAATTAATGGCCTCCCCGGGAGTCTTTGACATTTGTCACATGCTATTACTTGACAATTGGGCTACAAGCGCAGAGCCGGTGATAATAGGCCCAGGCCGCACAAGCAAGATTTGCACATGTATAGGCTTGTCCACACAAAACAGAGCAGGCCGAGGATATTGGGCCAAATATAGTTCCAGTCTGTGTTTTTTTGTAAAGATGGGGGGCTAAAGAGTTGCAGTGGGGGTTACGAATGTTAGCAGGGCCGTTTGGGGAAGTTGTGGTTACCAGGGAGCCGCGGGTGTGCTCTTTCGCAGCTGAGCACACCGACCCCCCTGAGCACAGCCAAAGCAGACACAATGAATTGCTAATGACACTCGGGCTGATTGGCAGGGAAAGGGCCTCCGCACACACACGGTACAATGGAGGACCTACGCAAGCGCTCCATGTTTGATGTCCATGCGCATACACTCACACGCAAACACGTACACAAGCATACACGAAAGAGAGAGAGGCACAGGAAAAACACTTAAATGATTGTGCTGTGCCCTATACAGTGATTTTGTTGCGCTTTTGAAATGTGTATAGGTTTCCGCTATCCAGTGCCATCAATGTAGCCCAAAATGCATTTAAAAAGTAGTGAATGGTCAATACAAAAATGTTTGAAAAATATTCTATTACCTAATATAATTTTTTTGTTTTAGTGTGAGGATAAGAGAGAACACTTTGTGACTGTCTCTAATGCTAATATTGTATTATCACTTCGCTATAAAACAGAGTTAACATTTTTCACGTAAAAAAAAAAAAATGCATGCCATCCCGCATTGCGCTGATAATTGGGTATTTGAATTTGGCACGAGGCAAATTCACAAGTGGAGCACCACATCACAACACGGATGGACATAAAATACTTGGCATTAATTCTGTAAAATATACTCAGCTTAAAACAATTGTATCATGGGAGAAGGGAATTAATGGACGACCCTAAACACGGCCAGTGAAAAGCAGCAGATTTAGGAGTTTATAATTGTGTTCAAGTGGGTTGAGGTATGACGCCAATCTCAAGGGGGGATGTTTGAGAAGGAATTGCAAATCTTTCTGACCCGAGGACTGAAATTCCTTGCTCGAACGTGTCGCTCTTACCCATGGCCTGCTTGCCCATAGCGCACTGGTATGTGTTCCTGGGCGACTGGTTGTGGTGGGGGTAGGGAATGAGGCCGGCGCACACCCCCAGAAGCGTGAAGGGCTCGATTTCCAAGTGTGTTGTGTCTCTGCAGGGGAAAATATCAATAAAACATAAAATGCTGATGATTTTGGAATTGCATTTGTATTTGGCACAATAGTGCTCTTGCTTATGTATGTATGCATATATGTATACAAGTACAGTATGTAGTGTGTTTCCAAGTACCGTACCGGTACGAGTATCGTACCATGAATTTTAGCTGGTAAAAATTACACGATACCTAATTCCAAGTCCAAGGCTTGAACATACTAAATAAAAACCAAAGTGAAGATGTGTACATTACCACATTCACAGCCATGCCAAGTATCAAGATACTTCATGCAGTTACGGTATCAAAGACAAAATATTGGAATAGTGACATCCCTACAGCTATGTATGTGACATGTGATCTAAATTAACGTAATGTAATATGATGTTTTGTGTGCGGTAAAATATCCATTTGGAGTAATTTTTAGGGGGAGCTTTTTGTGTCTGTTTTTATTGTACTTATTCCAAAACAAGGACCTTTTTGTTGTTCCTGTAGCCCTTCATACTGGTTTCGTCGATTGGGATGAAATTACTGTCTATCATAATACACATAACGTACAAAAAAAGTCTAATAATCCATGCGCAGAATTGAATCGAAGAACCTTGGTCATTTCCATCAGAGTTCAACTGTTATTTCAGAACAAATCGGTGAACACCACTCACTTGTCTATCATGTGCTCGTAAAGGGCGATTTGACAGTCATTCTCCTCGTTGACATCCAAGTACTCCACCAAACCTTCGTGCAGGAAGTCCTCAAACGATCTGGGGTGGATAAAAATGTGTATCAGACAAGCACCAGCCAAGCGACAGCTGGGATCTTAAAATTGGTGGGCATTACCTGTAGCCTTGCGACAAATCCTCAATGTGTTTGTTTTTTACCATGGGTTGACCCTTTTTCACAATAATGTACGGCCTACAAAGGGAACAAACGTGAAGACTCGACCTTTACCTTGACTTACTAGTTAATTCAACCCGTGACCTGACCTACCTGCAGAGGCGTCCTCCATCCGATGAGATGTACACGCAGCGGTCGGCCATATTGGTGGAGATGGACACAAACTCGTTGATGAATCCAGCCCTGCGCATCAGCCTGAAGGTGCTAACAAGCTTGGGATGGTCGCGAATGACGCCGAGAATGTTTCCTGCAGACAAGGGCAGTGAATTACATCAAATACATTGTCTATGTTCCGCAGTACGACACTCACAAAACGTTTGACATGTTGGTGACATTTCTGGATGAACCCAGAATGCATCCTTCTCTAAGCGTAGGAATGCAACTTTTGAGTCCAACTGGTCAATGTCCCAGTAATTTTTGGGATACCAGCTCACCCACAATGCGAATGAGGACAAGTGTTACACAAAACAGAGGACGAGATGGATTACGCTAGTAATTGGCATTTTTACAGGTTGCAAAACTGCAGCATGTATGCATGCCAGCATTCTCGCAGTACTTCATTTACTTTTTGAAGTTAATGCTGTCAAATGAGATGAGATTTTAAAGGCTTGAGGTGGGGTGTCCACATTTGTAACCATAATTGCAATTTGCATTAGGTTCACGATGTGGGCAAAAGGAGCCGTTCTTTCTGAGGTTCTCTTCATATCACATCAAACAGGTGAGTCAGTGGAGAACAGAGTAGACTGTGTGTGTGTGTGTGTGTGTGTGTGTGTGTGTGTGTGTGTGTGTGTGTGCGTGTATGCGCGCGCACGCACGTGCATATGTATGCACACCGAACACACTTTAACACCTGCTGCTTGTAGTTAATTAAATACTACAGCAGCTAACGACATGTGACAGTTATCAGTAACCACACAAACACGGAGTAATTAAAGCACAGTAAACTGCTGCTGTGAAATGAATGACACATTATAGAAAAAGGAACATTTCCCTTTTGCACTCACACGGAGGATTAAGAGTTTGCTCTGGAGTGATCTAAAGCAGTGTTTCCCAACCTTTAATGAGCCAAGGCAAATTATTTTACATTAGAAAAAGGCCACAAGAAGTATCCTGAAATAATGAGGATCTCATCTAAATTTATTCATAAATTCATTCTGTGTGTATTTGAACACAAAACTATTCTGTTGTGTGAATGGCAACAGGTGCATACATAGTTTGTTACTTCTGCCAACTAATAGAGGGGCGTTTCATTGATAAGCCTGTCACTAGAAGTCGCTGATGTAGATGAATAAAGACAATTTGTTTGTAGAAAATCCTTTTCAGACGTCAGAATTAAGTGAAACTGGATCATTCACAGCGGCACACCTGTTGATCGCTCATGTCACAGCGTGGTCTAAAGCAAAAGAGCAGCGCGCATGCAGTGAATGTTTTACCATTGAGGAAGACGAGGAAGACGCTGGGGTAAGAGAGCTCCTCTCCACACAGCAGGTTGACGTCCTCAACACCCAGGTTGAAGGCCAGCTTGATGATGGGACCGTCTTCCATGTCGGTGGTGATGTGCGTCATCAGAGCCAAGTTCTTCACCAGCCCGCAAGCCTACCACAACAAGTTGACAAGACATAGCGTATATCGAAACAAACTTTCCCATTGAAATGAATTGAAATGCCATTAAAATGTTACAACCCAAAGTCAAGGTACTGCTTTTCTGTGAGCAACCGAACCAATGAGGAGTGTATGAGCGAGCTCACCTCGCCTTCAGGTGTGTCGGACGGGCACAGCATGCCCCACTGCGAGGGCTGCAGCGACCGCGGCCCGCTAACTTTGCGGGTCTTCTCGAACTGCGAGGAAATCCGGGTCATCATGCCCAGAGCCGAAATGTAGGAGAGGCGAGACAACACCTGCGTCACACCCTGACGGTCCATCTTGAACCTTTTCAATGACCAATTCCCCTATGACATGAAAAATAAATGGATATGGTTAAAAATCAATTGAATTCATGCTTGATGGATCATACATCCATTCATTTTCTCCAGTGCTTGTCGCTGGTCGTGAGCCAATTGAACGGCGACTGTAGCGCAAAAAAATTCACACTCACATTCACACCTAAGGACAATTAGGGTCTTCAAGTTTAATGTCATTAACAGTTGAGCCCTACTTCCACGTGACAAAGCCAAACAACAACTAAATGAGATGTGTCGAGTCAGTAATGACACACATGCACACAGAGGTGCAGAGACACACACACACACATACACACTCACACGTGCACACACCTGCACACACGCACACTCACAGTGGAAATGGCGTTGATCATGCCGTTGGTGATCTGGTCCTGTCTCATGTGCTTGACCACATCAAACTGTGCCGCCCTCTGTTTGGGGATGATCTGGTCGGCAATCTTCTTCAGCTCAGAGTTGAACTTCTTGAACAGGTCTTCAAAGAGCAGGGACAGAAGCTGCGAGAGGCCAAAGTATGTGCTCATCAGTTATGCTTCAAAGGCATTCAGAGATGTCAGTCAGTGTGACTTGTGTGATTTTACAGTTATAGACAATAAACAACAAACGACGAGGTGGGCCAGAGTGATGTTTCCTGTCCCGTCTCCCTCCTCCCCGCCCTTGCCTTAGCATACGTCACGATAAACAGGCTTGAAATTAATCAAGAAATTAAGCTTCCGTTGCACAGCCAGGCCAATTAGTTGAATGTCAGGGAAACATAATTGGAGAGTGAGAAGATTGTTGGAGTAAGCCCCTTTTGAAAGAGTACTCCCTCCCAGCTCTTGCTCTACGTTGGGGAGGGGGGAAATTAAAGGCCTTAAGACAGCAATAATGACATTATCAGAGCCGGGCCTGCGGATTAGCTCAATCGCTCCAGTCAAGGCAGCACGTCTATTGTCAGCGTGCTGAAAAATCCCCACCGTTCTGCAGCTTTGGGATTTCGGTGCCACCGCATATCTCCCGCCTGACAAAGGCAGGCTGCAATACAAGCAGAGTTGGTGGGGGTGAAGAAAACAAAACAGGGAAAAGCAAAGCCGGGGAAAAATAATGAGTCTTATTAAAAGGAGGAGGCAGGCACAAAAGATATAGGTGAGCTTTGAACTGATTCCTGTGTAAATGTTATTCTTCTCTTAAAATCTTCAAAACACTAAAGAAAAATCAAAATACACACAGAGAAGATCACAGTGGTGTTGTTCAATGGCCACTGACCGTTTTTGTGTGTATATTTTGTCAAACAATTGTGAGGTTTGTCGTCTTTTGATGACGTATAGGTCGGATGACCGTGAGCTGTGCGCACCTACCATCGGATACAATTTGTTATATCCACATACGAAAGAGGGCGGGTCAGATTACAAAAAAAAACCTCCAAATAAATGAAAAATTGAATTATGCTGTTCACATCGACTTGAAAAGACATCCAATACATGTTGAATTAGATTAAAAATAATAATTTTAATTGGAATTGACCTGTAGTGGGAACATAGCCATAATGTAACACACTGAAGTGAAATGGTGTACAGAGTCGTACCTGTCCGGCCAACTCGAGACGTTTGTTGCCATAGTAATCTCTGTCGTCCACCTTGTTGTCCCCTTGAGCCAGAATCACCCTGCGTACCATCACTGCCAGGTAAATACACTTGGCTCTGAAGTTAAATTCTTTGACCTGTACACACACACACACACACACACACACACACACACACACACACACACACACGATTATTACATTTTGTGCACCTGACTCACTTCACCAGGAACACACACACACACATCTGTTTTCGTTATTCCACATACAGGCACGTGTGTGAGAATCAATGACGCCAGCAGTTCCCTGGCCTCTTCCATTTTGGTTTTCTTGGGTCCTCCCCACATGCGCTGCCTGCGCACTTTATTCCCAAGGTACTTCAGAGCCTGAAAACAACACAAGAATTCTGATCAAGACAATCGCTATTTGTCAATATAGGGTCCTTGGTGCGAGCTGACCCCGATTTGTGCGCATGTCGGAACCTGGTGTAGACTATCACTAACCCAGTGCCTATTTGTCAGGCTGTCTTTGACATTGAGCACTTATCAGTTTTATTTGTTTGTTGTTTGCTTTTTGTCTATTTTTTGCCAGAATTTTGGCAACCTATTTGTTGCAATCTGAATATATTTGACTACATGTGTGTTGTTTGTTGTTGGTGCATTTAAGCTTCCATGACACAATTCCCAATTGTGACATTTGGACTGAGGTAGATTACTCATCATAATCTGATAAATGCATTCCTTATCCTTATCTGCCTTTAATGATATAGATTTAGGTCTCATTGTGCACGATACAATGACTCAGTGAACACCCTGAAAAGAAATGAGGGAGGCAGAAACAGGAGCGAGGCAGCAAATGGTTGCTAGGACGCAAATGATGCCTCATCAGTGCACCGGGTGGCTCCTCTTAATGACATAATCTTTCGGGGGGGAAGAAAAACACAAACAAATTGTATTCATGGGTGTCAAAAAATAACATGACTTAACAGGCTGAAGGTGACAAAGAAATTTAAGGGTCTTCTGTCAAGAGGCGACATCCTGCTCTTCAGTAGACACATCCTATTCAGTGACATCACTCAAGTGACTCGGTCATTATTCTCTTACAAAGACATTAATTAAAAAAAAAAAAAAACTGTAATTGTGAAAATAGTCTATTATAATGTAGTACGATAATAATATTTGGGAAACCTCCAAAATCCACCAGATTCCAGAGCGCAGTTTGACCTACCCGCAATAGATGAAAATTTTAAACACAAATTAAGACACAGTTTTCAAACACATTTAAAACCTTTGCAGTAACTCTATAAAACGAACAACTGAAAACAATGTCAGGGACTCCAATCGGCCCTTTGCTGATTTGACTGAAAGGAAAGGAAAAATGTTCAAATACCACCTGATTGTCAGTAAGTAAGCTACCTGGGTTTGTGTAAATATTTGGGCTTTCTGACACTCCTCCAAGCTTGGGGCGAAGCTGGCCATGACGTGCTCCTCTGTCCCAATCATCTGTACGATCTCCTGGTCACTCTCCACACCCATTCCCTGTGTGAAAGACACCCACAAGCTGTGGTCATCAATGGCTAATACATTTATGACAAGATCAATTGTGAAGCCTCTGCCAGCTCCTCTGATGAGCCAACTAAATGCATCCCTTTTCTGTTTTGCTTTTTTTAGAATCTGAAGCACCTGTGGGAATCTCTGTGAAAGAACATTTGAAGACTGAAAGTGGAAACTACACAAAAAGATTTGTGTCGACAGGACCTTACTGTGGAGGTGAACACACAGTGGACTTCTTACATCCACAAAAAGTGAACCAAGAAGCAAAATTTGTGTGTGTGTGTGTGTGTGTGTGTGTGTGTGTGTGTGTGTGTGTGTGTGTGTGTGTGTGTGTGTGCGTGTGCGTGTGCGTGTGTATATATGGAGTCACACAAATTGTCTGTGACATTTGCTTATGGAAATGTGAAGCTGTGGGAACTGACACGCTCATCGCGCACTAGACACATTTAGTTGAACCTCCTCCATTTCCGTGGAGAGTCCCAGGCAGGATGGGAGACAAGCGCATGCAAATAAAGTGAGCACACAAAAGTGATAACGTCAGGATAATGACCCTTGCTCGGAAGACAGTCTGCGCTCAGGGTTGACGTGAGATTTGCTCTCGGCGGGCAAAGAAGTTAATCATGATGCCAGCTGGCAGACTGACATTTTAAAGGAATGAAATCAGACAAGGTGCAGCATACTGAGCTAGTGGTTAGCATTTCACAGTTTTGAGGTTTGGGTTTGAATCAACAAATGTCTTCATGTATATGGGTGACAGTACAAATAACAATTTCTTTGGTACCCCAGTACGGTCCTGAGTCACCTTTTTCTTTCACTTAATGTAGGTACAGGAGTTGAACCAGTACTTCTACTATTACCAGTCTTTCTTTCAACTTAAGTATAAAGTCTGTGTACTTTTCAACCAATGTAGCATAACAACGACACGCTGTAAAGCAGATGTGCCAGTTTTAGGTCTTGCAACTTGCTTAGCTAAACTTATGAAAGACTCGACTTGGTATTCATGAGAATCGACTTCATGGATAATGATTAGCATGAAGGATATACCGGTACATGTTATTTTATACTCTCAGTTGTTCATTCAATCCTAGGTGTAAATATTGTATAGTCAGCAACGTTGTATGATTTCATTTGCAACTTTAACCAAAGTGATGACTTGATTTAGTTGAAATATAATAGGGACTCAACTTTACTTTGCCACAGGGACTCAGGACTTGCTTGAAACTTGAAGGAAACGAATTGGATTTATCCCAGTTGAGTGGGAAAAAGAATGATTTAGCTGAAGAATTATTCAGCTCAGGATAAGGGTAACTTTTCCCAAATTCACAGTTTTTAATTGCTAATTAGCTAGGAATACTGAAATGAACTGCAGTACTCTGATGTGACTGACGGACCTCCTCAAACGACTTCCGCTGGGAAGTCTTTCAGTGCGCTGGCCTCCAATGGTGATATGAAAGTGGTCTTGTGACGCCCCCTGGTGCACGCACCTTGAATATAATGGCGATGGGCGCATCCTCCGTCAGCGTGTTGTGCTTCAGGTAGAATCGTCCTTGTTTCACAATCATGTTTGTTCTACTTTTCTTCTCATGGGTGGAGCTGGAATAGTTTGGGAGGAGGGTGTCACAAAGGAAACGGGGATAAGGAAGACAAATGTATCGCACCAACGCTGCACCAACAGAAGAAATGTGAGTTTGAGAAGAGAAGGCCAATTTCAGGTACAATGAGTGCTTGGCACTGCTCCTTCTCTCTAACTCTCGCTCTTTGTTCCTGCTTTCTCTATGGGGAAATTTAACCTGGGACTTGGTGGCAACAAGTCACCTTCTGCGACATTTTGGTTGCTCCACATGATTACTGAACAGGCTCTGCTTTTATGTTTTGATTCTAGGTAACATGTGGAGGATGCGCCTATTTTTAATCTGAGAAATGTTTTGATACCCCTTGGAATTGTTGTTTATGGATTACACTAATATACAGAACATCAGTTGAAAATTCATTTAAAAAAACATCAATAATAGTGCTAGATAATCTTACTTCACACATTAAATGCATTTGACAGCTAACTTGTACATTGTGTTTTGTTTTTGGGGTTTTTTTTTTTTTTGCATTTTTGACTGATACACAAATTCATCAGGGGATAGAATGGTTATTTTCTTCACCGTATGTCTTATGCAAAGCTGCTATGTAGTGACGCTTCTGCTGGTTGTCTCTACCTGGTAACTGAGGCTCCCACTGCACCTTTCCTGTCCTGCTCCACAATTATCCTGTTCTTGGACAGCTGCTCCTGGATCAGAATGACTTTCTCTTGACCTTTCACAATGAAATAACCACCTACATTGCCAGAGGGGTTAAAAAAAATTCATACCTCATGCGACATAAACAATGGCATATTTAAAGACTGAACTTAGTTTAAACAGTTAAAATGACACCAAGTACCTGGATCAAGGGGACATTCGTTGAGTTTGGAGAACTCCAAGGGTGTCTTTCCTGTGAGGACACAGTTGGAGCTTCGCAGCATGATGGGCATCCTGACCAAATACATTCAAATTAACAAGTTAAAATTGCTGAAAGAGGTTCAGATTTATCTGACAGCGAGGCGGATGGAGCCCTTGAAACATAGGTATCAAATTCAAGAAATGACAAACTAGTGTTGCGGCAATTTCCCAAAAAAAGAAAAGATTTAAGATAACATATTTGTAATTAATAAATAATAATTTTCAAATGAATTTAGCGAAATTGGACAATTTCCCAAGCCACCTCTGATCATATCTGAGAGCACACTCAAGGTACTTCTACATTTAGTCATAACTTGCCCACTGAGGACAAGCATAACTAAAATGTGGCCTATGATGAAAACAAGTTTGACATCCCTGACTAAAATGTATGGGTACCTTCCAATGGGCAGAGCATTGCGGATGATTCTCTGGCTGCCGCGTGTGTACTCAATGTCCACGGTGATGGGTGCCGAGTAGGTCATGTCTCTGAGACGACACTAGCACAAAGAACAAAATAGGAAGAAAAAAAAAACACTGAATATTGTCAAATAAAATGTGGTATGGTTTCTCTTTTGTTCATAATGCAGACTAACAAAATGAAATTATATTTAATTCAACAAGAAAACATTTCTGAACCAACTGTGACAGGTTTTCAAATGCCCTGAAATCTATCTGTGCATGCTGCTATTCCCACCAAAAATTAAAAGGAGGGCTCGTCCGGGATTTGAACCCGGGACCTCTCGCACCCTAAGCGAGAATCATACCCCTAGACCAACGAGCCACACAGATCCAGGCAAGACAGAAGTCTACAAAAAGTGGTGATGTGGCACATCTTCAGGTTCACTTGAGACAATAGCGCCCCTATCGACCACTCTATGAAAAAACAGGTGACATTGTCAGCCTGAGGCAATAACATGCATTTGGTACGGAAGAGTTTTTTTCGGGCCACACTGAAAAGAAAAATATAGAATGAGACTACAATCGTACAAAGAAAAAAAAAAGTAAATTCAAAGTTTAAATTAAAAGTATTAAAAATTTTGTTTTAGAACAGAAGTTATTTTCAAGATTATTTATATCAGAAAAATACATTTGTTAATTTTTATGAAATACTGTATATTTTTTAGATAAAAGTTTTGATTAGACAAAAAAATTTTGAATTATTTTTAAGTCATCTTTAGAGGATGGAAAAACAAGAATAGAGACATTATTCAAGAAAAATAGATATTTTTACATTAAAATTTTTCTGGTTTACAATATGTTAAATATTAAGTACATTTGAGGATGAAAAGACATAGAATGACATTGTGGTGTATTATCTCGTAGTGCAATTTATTTTTCTCTTCAGGGTGACACTGCTTTCGACTGGATTTACATACATCGGGACATTTTCTTCTTAGTATTGAAAGAAAATGTCACAGATGACATGGCAAGTATTGGCCTTTCAAATTACAGTATCCCAAATAATACAATATTAGTATATTGTGTATTAACCGTTACAGGGTAAATTGGCTTACCTCATGAGGGGAGACTGGCCGGGTTACGTTGAAGCTCTCTTCTACATCAGGCATACCAATGTAGATATTGAGATACCTGCAAGAATAAAGGGACATTAAACGGAACGTAGCGATCAAAAATTTGGGAGGTCATTGTTTAGAAATATCAAAGAGTGGAAATTGATTTGGAGATGAGCTGGCTAATAAATGTAGAATGGTTGGTGAACTGGTTTGGTGAACTAACAGATAAATTAAAAAATCTGATCATTAGATGAATACAAATCATGGAAAAGGTCATTGGTATGTCCACATTTTGAATAATGTCAATATTTGTCACTCTGCAGCCTATTGTCCAACTGGTCTAGTGACTTACTTGATGTACCACATCGGGTCCGCGTCACTTGTTATCTTCTCGTTGGCGCTCATGATTTTCTTGATCTGTGGAGTGGGATGTTGATAGTGTACATGACAGGCTAAGGGACACACATGCACAGACAGACACACACGAAGACATGCACATTTATGGACTCACACTAACCGATGGCCGTTCACGACATACGACCACACAGACACACTCACAGATTTACATACATTCAGACACACTGATGGCTAGCTTGGGTTTTACCTCCACATTGATGAAATAATTGAATGAGTCGATGTGCTGCTTCACCAAGCCTTTCACCTTCAAAACAAATGTCAGAAATTCAATTTTTTTTAAATGTGACACACACTATGATTTGGAGAAATTGCTTTATGCTGTTTGGTGTGCATACACGTGTGTTAAGGGTCATTCAAATACAAAAAAGGTAGACATAGAAGGTTCTGAGTGTTTTACCTTCAAAAACGCAGGCAACAGCTTCCATTTTTCCTGTTGAATTCAATAGACATGAAACAAGTTGGTCATTGACTATGATTTTCTTGATTTGTAACAGTTTTGTCATGTCGGGTTGCTGACAGTTACAAAAACTACAAGTGTGACGAAAAATGAAAAAAAAACATATTTGACACTTAAGTTGTTGTGTAAACGAAGCAGTAATCGTTTTAAAATTGGGTAAAGTACTTATAAATTGGGGGAAATGCTTGGAATAAATAAATTCCGTGTTTTGATTGACAGATCGATATCAAATAACATGATGATTACTGGTGTTGAACTGGAGTGATTACTAATTATCTTGAGGTATACGTGGAAGTTGGAGGTTAAAGAAGTGAAATAATGTCATTATTTGATCGTATCTGTCTACTCTAGGGGGACTTAAGATACTGATGGTAAGACCGCACTAATAAAATGATTTGGATGGGGCCTTGACTTATAACAGGGTTTGACTTGACTTGCCAAAGACAAAACGACTTGGAAGTTCAATTCGTGTGACCCCATCTTTGCATATTTGAATCGAACTCGTGGTGTCAACATGTCGGCATGTTTCGACTTACCTCTACAGTGCTGACAGGAGCCGCCAGCTCCTGCTGGGACATGTTACAAAACTCGCCTCCAAGCAACTCCATCCTGACTTTAAATCTTTTTAAAGTATTTCAAAATGTTTATGTTAAACTCTTCACCATTTTGTTAGTGTTGATTTGCTGTCGGAAGTCGCTGCAGCATGCCTCCAATTGTGTGTTTCACTATAACACATCCGTATGGGTAGCGAAATAAAGATATTGTTCCGCCATAGGTAAGGTCCCGCGCGAGAAAACATGAAAACCGATTAGAAAATAACACACTGTCGTTTCGCAATCAGTAAATTACTTAAGACTTGAATCCGCAAAAAAACATAAAACAATGAAATCCAACACTATTTTCTTTATTTTGGCGGCCTACCTTGTGTTTTACTGTTAGACCGCCGAGAGGAACGACAGTTGATGTGAAATAACACATTTTAAAGAAGTACATAAAAAATTATTTGCAAATAATAAACTGGAATATCGCGTTCAAGTGAAGAAATTCAGACAAGATGACAATCAAAATCAATATTTTTGGTTCACGTTCTGCCTGAAACCATGGTGCGTCACTGTAAAACCACCGCGTAGCTGGGAATAATTAAGAGTTCCACTGTTAAACTAGGAAAATAATTACATATTAAATTGAGAATATTAGCATTAAAATTGTATTTGGCGTGTGATGTGAATAAATTAAAACGTGACTTTTAAAAAAATGCAACAAAAAGCCAATATTACTTGTGTTTCTTTTCTTCCCTTGTATACTGATGTCCTAACCGTAGTACAGAGGCTGAACAGGCATATAAAGTTGTCTTATTGCACAAACTTTATTGGCTTCCAACATGACACCCACACAGCGTTGAGAACGCGCCCTGCTAAAACTGTCAATATAGACAAAAAGCCCGCTACCCTGCGCTACAACACAGAACGATCACACTACATTTCCCACATGGCAATTTTTCTTAAAGAGACAGGTAAGGTCTGTAGCACTTAGGTTTGCCACCATCTCCCCATCCATCCATCCATGATATGAACCGCTCTATCCTCACGCGGGTAGCGGGCGTGCGCTGGAGCCTATTCCAACTGGTTGCCAGCCAATCGCAAGGCACACGTAGACAAAACACCAACTATTCACACTCAAAATCACACCATGGGACAATTTAGATGTCCAATTAACCTACCGTGCATATTTTTGAAATGTGGGAGGAAACCAGAATACTGGGAGAACACCCATGTAGGAACAGGGAGAACATGCAAACTCCACACAGGAAGGCCACAGCCCAGAATTAAACCATGGACCTCCCCACTGAGGCAGACGAACCAGTCAACTACCATGTCGCCCACTTTTCCACCAGTTGTTCATCATTAGACCTGCATGTAGTGGAGGAGGCAATTTTTTAAAAATCTGCTGTAGGCAGGGGACACCCTGAACTGGTTGCCAGCCAATCGCAGGGCACACAGAGACAAACAACCATACACGCTCACACCTAGGGAAAATTTTGAGTGCTCAATCAGACCTGCCATGCATGTTTTTGGAATGTGGGAGGAGTACCCGGAGAAAATCCACGCAGGCCCAGGGAGAACCTGTAAATTCCACACAGGGAGGCCGGAGCTGGAATTTAACACAATACCTCTCTGCACTGTGAGAACAATGGGCCACCGGACCACCCCACCTGGCACTCGTGGCTACATATTTTCAGTGGTTTTTGTGATATGACTTACATGAATGACTTTGGTCTAACTTCTGCCATTGATGGCTGAACACTTACCAAACACGCAGAAAAGAGTGGGCTCGTCCGGGATTTGAACCCGGGACCTCTCGCACCCTAAGCGAGAATCATACCCCTAGACCAACGAGCCACAACTTTCTATGGAAGGTCCCCATTAAAAAACATAATCTTGGTAACGTGGCAAAGTAAAACTGTGCCCTGGTGTGGTCGTAAATTGACATTACAGTTTGGAAACACGGATGATCACCGGTCCCGACATTTCGGGGCGCCTTTTTGGCTGTGAAAATTGCAAGGGAGAAGGCGCATTGCCCACAGAAGTGGACAAACTCATTTATATCAAGAAAATTTGGGCTCGTCCGGGATTTGAACCCGGGACCTCTCGCACCCAAAGCGAGAATCATACCCCTAGACCAACGAGCCACATTTTTCGGAATCAAGTCTCTATTAAAAAAATCATAAACTCAGGCACGGAGCTAGTAAAATAGCGCCCTCGGTATGGTCACATGTAGACATTAAAGCTTAGAAACACAGCATATCACAAGTGCAGAGATTTTGAGGTGCCTTTCTTTATTGCTATGAGAATTGGAATGGAGAACGTGTATTGCCCACAGAGATGGACAAACTTATTAATATCAACAAAATTTGGGCTCGTCCGGGATTTGAACCCGGGACCTCTCGCACCCAAAGCGAGAATCATACCCCTAGACCAACGAGCCACATTTAATGCGAAAAACATTTACGTATATAATGACAAGACTATAGCACAACCGTACAAGATGCTTCGTAATATGATGAATTCCATATTAGGCGGTGCGCATTGTCGTTGCAGTAAATCTTAGCGGTATGGGTGCTATTCGGGGACATATAGGTCGTAATCAACATGAGTTCAAATATTGACAAGTTTCTAATGCTGCAAATCATCACACATACTTCTGTCAATTCGCAGCGATTGACTTTAACAAAATGCTGCTTTGCTCTGACGACATTTTGTGTTAGTTTTATCGACCTCGTGTGTCCTCACGGTGTACCTGCTTGTCTTCTTACGGGGTCTTCCGCTTGACAGGATTAATTAAAATCGGAAAATGGTTTCTGAAGCCAAACGACCCAAGATTCGGTTCCGTCGGATCGATTTAGTTGAAGACATACATTGCTGCCCTGCTGAAGCGAGGTAACTCCTGCAACATACGATGTTCCTCCACTGCATCACGGTTCATCGATCGCGTCCACTATTTTGCTCCCTGCAATCATGTTTTTTACTATGGCTGAACAACTTAATCGTAATAGAGTAGAGTTAAATTTTGATGGAAAATGCTGCCTCTCAGTCAAGGTTATATTTTTCAGATGTTTTTTATTCATTTTTGATTGAATGTCAAGATTAATTCAGCATTTAAGAAATGCAGTCCATGCAAACATATTGTTTCATGAAAAATTTGAAGTGATAATGCCACAGATGTGTTTGCATTATTGTTGTTATCTGATTTATGACTTACTGACTTATGTCTACACTTACCACACACTTTAAACATCAACATGAGTTCTTCATGTGGTAAAAGCTTTCGATGGTACCACCAGTAAACAAACTGTCGTTTGACCAAGGCAAAATGATTGAGAAAACAGGGTAAAAGGCTTGAATGATGCCACATGAGCTAAACAGCTTGAAATGGATATTTCCCATTTCCTCCTCAGAGAAGAACTCCCTGTAGAGCACAGAATGGGCGCCCCTCCTGCTGGCTCCGCTGTATGAATACACCACAACGTAGTCCAAATGGATACCATACCTGTCATTATGGACAAACTTCAAGATGCTAGACCACCCCATGTTCTGCTGAGTAAAAAAACACAAGGTAACTGTATGAAATCATAAGTTAAACTGGTTGGACGGTACGCTTCATTTCTGTGCAAAATAAGAGAGATCAATTTCAACTTACAAGGTGTGGCAGAAAAGTTCAAGGCAATTAAGTCAAAAACCAGGGCTCGTCCGGGATTTGAACCCGGGACCTCTCGCACCCTAAGCGAGAATCATACCCCTAGACCAACGAGCCATATGATGCATGATTAAATTTTTTAGGGTCACACATGAAACATGGTGATGTGGCAAGTGAATGCTCCTGGGCCAAACAGCACCCCGGCGTGGTCATAATCAGACACTGCTCTTGGTCCATTCAGGTCCAAAGAGGAGCGAGATTCACAACTGCAGGGAACCGGCATATCAGAGGCGGCGGACCAAGACTTGGTTAAAATCCAGAGGGAATACAGAGATGTGGCCCAGCCCTTTATTTCCAAGCATTCTGACATGTGGAAGACCCACACATACACGCTGGAGCTGTACATGCAATTTGTGGCTTTTGTCATGAGAAATAGGTTGGTCAAACATTGTGATGGTTTTTTTTTAAAGATTATTTTGAACATGAAATTCCTCCCAATCTCCCTCTTCTGTTAATGCATACACAATAGTGAACCCCCGTTATGTATTTTCTACAAACATACAGTTAAATACAAGGCAAAGAGGGAAATTTTTGCCACATTTTTTGTTTCAGTGCAATGTATGTTGCGTGGCTTCTTCTGGTAGTACAACACAGACATTCGGGTGTACATGGAGACGGTCCCAATTTCTCAGTAAGATGTGGGTAAAAGTCCATTCTTCGCAGGGGATAAAGAATGCTTGTCTTTGAGCATTTTTGTTTTTGTCTACCACTTGTCTGAACTATCTGTTACTTAAAGCATTGTTTCCCAACCAGGGGTACATCTAGAGGGGTCCATCTAGGGTAGGGGTGTCAAACTCATTTTTACGCAGGCCACTTTGTAGTGATGGCTTCAATTTACAAAGTGGGTTAGAAAAGTTCCCGGGAATTAAGCAAAAAATGAGGGCTCGTCCGGGATTTGACCCCGGGACCTCTCGCACCCTAAGCGAGAATCATACCCCTAGACCAACGAGCCATATTGTTTTTTGATAATTGTTTTAACATGAAACCTGAAACTTGGTGATGTGGCAGATGAATGCTTCTGCGTCAAACAGCACCCCCGCGTGGTCATACCTAGACACTGCTAATGGTCCACTCAGGTCCAAAGAGGAGCGAGATTCACGACTGCGGGGAACCGGCATCCCCGAGGCGGTGGACAAAGACCTGGTTAACATCCAGAGGGAATAGGTCCAGTGTAATCCGTTGTGTTATGTTCTACTTTTGGAGAATCATCAACACGCATGAGTCTGTGGGTACTCGTGGTATGACAAAACGGTTCGGCGGTACCCAAACCAAAAAAGGTTGGGAAGCACTGGCTTAAAAGGTTATAAATGCCACACAAAAAAGGGATGGTTTCATTTAACTAAAGCATCTTAATATTAATATATTATATCATATTCATGAACCGGCATTGTCGTTGGAGTGAAGCTTATTGGTAGTGGTGATAGCCTGCAAGTAATCATTCAGGGTAGAAATTATACAATTAAACACGGGTTCAAATATTGATAAGTTTCTAACGCTGCAAATAATAACACATGTTTTGTCATCAGCAGATATTCCCGATAACAAAATGCTGCTTTGCTCTGACCACATTTTGTATTCGCTTTATCGACCCCCAGTGTCCACACGGTGTGCCTGCTAGTCTTCGTACGGGGTCTTCTCCTGGCCTTAATGTACTTTAGTTAGCCATGGACCGTGAGGCTGTTCGAATCCACTTTTCCGCTTGACAGGATTCGTTCGGACACTAGAAAATGGCTTGTGAAGCTAAACGACCCAAGGTTCGGTTCCGTCAGATCGATTTAGTTTAAGACAATGAAACGTTGCGGTGCGACGAATGAAAATACGAGTAGATAGCTTTGTAGGTTATACGTGTTGTGGCGATAAATAGCATATTAACTAAATCTTTTCTATCATGCTAGCGTATGGTAGATATATCGGGATAATCTATTTTAAGTAACAGTAAACCATCCGAAATGCATTTTATCTGACATTTAATCAACCACGTCGGAAGCTAACTTCAATCGCGTGCGGGTGCACAGAAGCGTGTCTGCATTTTTTTCTGTGCAAAACTTTATTGTTACCTGCTGGGGTTCAAAGAACCAAATTACGGATTCCAAGTGCACAAAACTTTATTGTCACCCAGTCTGATACAAAAATTAATATATTGAGTATGAGAAAATCAAAACCGTTGATGAAAACATTGCGACGAGTACCGAAATATTAATATTAATATTCATTAATTAATGAATATTAATCGAAATATATTTAAAGTGATTATTTTGTCTTGTGATAGAGAGAGCAAAAAGTGCCCCTCCAGAGTGTTTTTTGTTTAATATTTTTTAGCTCTCTATCTATTTATCTATCCATCCATCTGAACCGTTTTGGTTACATAATCCCCGACGAAGTGGTAAATTTACCTCAGTAATGTTGTTTTGAGTTCAATGCTCTTTTCAATGAGCTGTCATGACTCCGACTGTATATTATATTTATGGTATACATGCCATTTGAGGGGTTTGCAACACAGTTTTGGTTCTTTCTATTGTGCAGGTGGACAACGATGCTTCCCTGCAGAACTTCCTCCGGTGGTGCGATTGCGTCAACCTAGTGCTGAGCAAGAAAGTACGTGCTCTCAAGAGCAGAATCCTTTCTTATGTCTGTCAGATCAGTGTGTCCCCAACAGTGATTGAGCTAAAACACACATTTTACATTATTAAAAAAAAAAATAACGGTGCACTCCCAAACAAAAGTGTCACAGAAAGTAGATATGTTCCTTCTGCAATCCAGCGGAACATTATTGATTTGATCTGCCTGTCATAATAGGTCACTGGTGTTGATCTTTGAACAAAGATGGAAAGTAAATATTGTAGTCCTGGAACGTGAGTAATTTTTGGACCATTGAAGTGAAATGGAATACTTTCCTGCGGCACATAGGGCGATCTCGAAACGGAATACTGGTTGAGGAGAACTGTTGGATCATTTCAATTGTCGATTCAGGTCCAAGTGTGTAAGGGAGGCGTGGTGGCCGACTACGGGATGGTAGCTCAGGAAGACATCGGGGAAGGCGAGGTGTTGTTCACCATCCCCAGATCAGCTCTTCTTCACCAGGGCACGACACACGTTGCAGCCCTGCTGGAGCAAGGTAACTACTGCAACATACAGTGTTTCTCTGCTGTATCAATTGCCCCCACCATTTTGAAGATTTTCCTGTTATCTTTTTTTTTTTGGACTAGAACAAAGTATTTGTATATACATTTTAATTTATTGTTTCATTCTTAATTGTCATGGGAAAATGACCTTGAAAAAAAAAACAGCTTGAAAGGGAGACCCAACGGTGGTCGCAGTTGACTGTATTCTGATCAATTTCCGAAGTCAAGCCCAATTTTAAAGCCCCCGTTTCCTCCTCAGAGAAGGACTCCCTGGAGAGCACATCAGGGTGGGTGCCGCTCCTGCTGGCTCTGCTGTATGAATACACCACAACACAGTCCAAATGGAAACCATACCTGTCATTATGGACGGACTTCAAGATGCTAGACCACCCCATGTTCTGGTGGGTAAAGAAACACAAGTTAACTGGATGAAATCATAAGTTAAATCAGTTGGATAAGACACCTAATTTCTGTGCAAATAAGAGAGATCAATTTCAACTTACAAAGTGTGGCAGAAAATTTCAAGGGAATTAAGTAAAAAAATCAGGGCTCGTCCGGGATTTGAACCCGGGACCTCTCGCACCCTAAGCGAGAATCATACCCCTAGACCAACGAGCCACACAATGCACTTGGGTAACTTTCTGGGTGTGAGATCAAACTTGTTGATGTGGCAAGTGAATGCTCCTTCTTGGTTAAACAGCACCCCCGTTTGGTTATAACTAGACACTGCTAATGGTGCATTCAGGTCCAAAGAGGAGCGAGATTCATTACTGCGGGGAACCGGCATTCCAGAGGCGGTGGACAAAGACCTGGTTAACATCAAGAGGGAATACAGAGATGTAGTCCGACCCTTTATTTCCAAGCATCCTGACATGTGGAACACCCGCACGCACACTCTGGAGCTGTACACGCAGCTTGTGGCTTTTGTCATGGCGTACAGGTTGGTCAAACATTGTTTTTTGTGCTTGTACTGTATTGAACATAAAATTCCACCCCTTCTTCCTCTTCTGTTAATGCATACACTATAGTGAACCCCCGTTATGTATTTTCTACAAACATACAGTTCAATAGAAGGCAAAGAATGAAGTTTTTGCCACATTTTCTGCTTCAGTGCAATGGATCTTGTGCAGCTTCGTCTGTTATGGGTGCTGTGGTCATCTGGGGGCAGTATAACACAAATATTCAGCTATACGTGAAGACGGTCTCAACTTCTCAGTAAGACGCAGTAATAGTCCATTATTTTCAGGGGATAAAAAATGCGTGACTTTGAGCATTTTAAGCACTTAATATTACTTAAAGCATTGTTTCCCAACCAGGGGTACCTCTAGGGCAGGGGTGTCAAAACTATTTTTTGTCACAGGCCACTTTGTAGCTACGGCTTCCCTCAGAGGGCTGTTTATGATGGTCAAACTAATTACATTTTTAATTGTCTCAATTTACTTTTACATATACACAGTGACTCTCTGTGTGCCCTGTGATTGGCTGGCAACCGGTTCAGGCTGTCCCCCGCCCACTGCCCGAAGACAGCTGGGATAGGCTCCAGCACCCCCCCCGTGACCCTTGTGAGGATGAAGCGGATTGGAAAATGAATGAATGAATGAATGAATGAATGCATGCTTGAATGCATGCATATACACAGTGAACTGTTGTTAACTGTTTGAAATCATAAGTTAAACCGGTTGGACAGAACGCCTCATTTCTGTGCATCTCAGAGTGATCTATTTTATTTAACATGGTGTGTCAGAAAAGTTCAAGGGAAATAAGTCAAAAGTCAGGGCTCGTCCGGGATTTGAACCCGGGACCTCTCGCACCCTAAGCGAGAATCATACCCCTAGACCAACGAGCCATATGATACATTGTACATTTTTTAGGGTTAGAAATGAAACATGGTGATGTGGCAAGTGAATACTCCTTGTAGGTCAAACAGCGCCTCCGCGTGGTCATAACGAGACACTGCTAATGGTCCATTCAGCTCCAAAGAGGAACGAGATTCACTCCTGTGAGGAACCGGCATACCAGAGGCGGTGGACAAAGACCTGATTAACTTCCAGAGAGAATACAGAGATGATGTCCGGTGTAATCTGTTGTTTTATGTTCTGGTTTAAAGAGTTCTAAAACTCCAATGCAATATAGCCTGTCTATGGCGTTTCACATTGTTCGTTAGCATTAAGTTAAACGGACTTTACAGTGTAGAGCTATCTGGTTGTTTTAAATACACAATGTGTGAATTCTGTTTTATGTTGAGTTTGACAGTAAACCGAAATAAAGGCCTTTTCCTCTCTTTTTGTAGTTTCCAAGAGCCGCAAGAAGAGGATGATGATGAAGATGATGAGGAGGACCCACCCAATCCACCCATGATGGTTCCCATGGCCGATATGCTCAACCATGTGTCCAAACACAATGCCAATCTGGAGTTCACGCCAGTAACTAAATGTTTGTTTAAAGGACACCCTATGTACTTTTTGAAACATTTTCTAGGTGTCTTACGATATCTCTGACATGCCTTTGTCAACTGCCGCTGAAAAATTTTGCTTATGACCTCTGCCCCCCGACTCCCCAGGATTCTTTGAAGATGGTATGCGTGCGCCCCATCAAAAAAGGCGAGGAGGTGTTCAACACATACGGGCAGATGGCCAATTGGCAGCTGCTGCACATGTACGGCTTCACCCAGACGCACTCCGACAACGATGCCGACACCGCCGACATCCCCGTCATCAACCTGTACAAAGCAGCCACAAAAGGTTCATCTCTTTATGATAATTCCGAGAGCAAATATAGTGATCCCTTGTTCATCGCTGCTTATGTGAATTCAAAAACCATTCTTAATAGGTGTTTTTTTTTTTTTGCGTGATTGTGTGTTGTTCAACCAAACCAATTAATAACGAAAGGCCGCTAGCTTCCTGCTAATATACAATGCAAAACACCAAAGACAGGCTAACGGAAACTAACATATATGTGACGGTAAATATCTCAGTTGGTCTTGGGGGACCTTCTGTGCCTCTTTCTCTTGATCTTGATTTTGTAATTGCACTGTATCTCTTTCAACAGAGCTCAGTGCTGCCAGGCATGTTGTGGCACAACATGGTACAACACCACAATTCAAAATTCGGACTTGGCTTACCTGGATGTATACTGTAATGACCGATAAAAAAACAATTTACTAAAAATCCGCACTATAGTAGAAACACGAACAATGAGCCGCAATTTCGCAGGGGAAAGACTGTATCACAAAATAATCTTTTCGCTTTACAGAGCCGGATGGGGATCAACAGCTGTTGGCAGAGATGTGGGAGCTGCTCAGGGATAAAGAAGCGTTTGTTTTCGGCAAAGACAGCTGCTTCACTCACACGGAGCTACACAGTGTGCTCAAGGTTATGCATCATTCATGCCCAAATCATTTTTTAAACTCTAAATTAATACCATAGAAGAACATACGCATTGATATGTGGTGTGGATGGTTTCAGGTGTTGTGCATGTCCAGGGAAGAGTTCTTGGAGTTCAAAAACAATGACGGATGGGAGGACGACGAGGATGAGGATGAGACGATTTTTCAGGTCTTCTCCAACGATGGGCTCTTGGAATTAAAGAGCAAGTGGAGGCGGCTCATCCACGAAGCGGCACGTTTGACCGTGATGGGCTACCCCAACCTGGATGAGGACCGGGTCCTGATGGAGGACCAGGCTTCGCTAGAGAGACTAAGCCGCAGGCAGAGAAATGCACTTAAGGTCCGATATGGACAGAAAAGCATCCTGGACAAAGTCATGGAGCTCACAAAGTCATGAACGTGGAACTCTTTCTTTCCTTCATCAATTAAAGTTTCATCCCAATGTATATGTAGGTTACTTGATACAGTTTTACACCTGCCACATGCTGAAAACCTGTTTCGTTATTAAAGCCATTTTAAAGAACAGTGGACCCACACATACTCGCTCAGCACTCATGGATTTGCTAATTTTCTTTTTCAAGGGTTCCATCCCCTCATTTTTTTGGGGAAAACATTGAATATGAATTCATTTTTTGAAGAATTTGGGGTATCAAAAAAAAAAAAAAAAAATCCCCAATGCATTTCAATGGGTCTTAATCGTACAGATTTTCGTTCCTCGTGGACTAGCCTGTTCCCGATCCCCCGCGAATGGTGGGTGTCCACTGCAATTGCAAGTGTTTACAAAACAGTTAATCATAAAACGTACATGATATGCTGTATATTTGCATATGCCTTTGAGAGCTGGAGGCCTGATGGGGTCGCATTAGCCAATCAGCCGTGGCTGACAGTAGCTCCCGAGTGAGTGTTGTTTTACTATTCTCGCATTCCATAAGCAGCTCAAAAGTACTGACAACTGGGGCTTTTCTTTCCCACACGCGAGTACATTACACTACGTAGCTATACTAGATCACCCCCAATCCCCATAGTAGTATTTTATAGACAAAATGTCACTAAGACACATTACAATCCTGATTTGCAGTCTGAATGCTTTATTAACTGTATGTACGCATACTGCAATTAAGTAGCAAGAACTAAAGGCAAACTAGAAAGGACTACAAAATACACATGGACCAATACATTTACAAAACATTCAAAATGTTACAAAATGGGCTGTATTGGTCCTTCTGTTGTTCTTCAATTTGAATCTTTGTACAAATTGTCAACATATAAGGTCAACCATTTTCACTTTGCACAATTTTACAAGAACCAGGGAGAGAGACGTGTCCGTACCACCCGTCAGTAAACCATCAGTAAAGCATCTCCATCCGACACCACAAACACGAGCCCCTCCCCCGGGAGTTGAAATTACATCTTCGGGTCCATTTAAGGACAGGAAAAAAAAATTAAAATAAAGCAAAAGTTTTTTTCTTCAATTATTTTTAGCTTTCAGCCTCAGAGCAAACAAGGTGAAGGGCAAAAAGGATTTGTGAGAGGGAAGCAAACCAAAAACTTTGGTAGAGTGAAATTATGTTCAGATATTTTTCCGTCTTTTTTCTTTTTTACATGTCAGTATACAATTGTTGCGACATGTTCCCCACTCTCCACTTATCGACTCTCCCTTCCCCCCCATTATTTACATCAAAGCATCAAAAAAGTAAACAGCATTTCTCACATCCATTATTTCCTTCCAGACACAGCTCCAAAAGGGATGAAAAAAAATGTAAATCTTCAGAACCTGGAGCAGTAGTCCTTATGTCCACATTTCTCAACAAAGACTGTGGTTGCCAGTTTATCCAGTGCTGCCAACAGTGAAGGGGGAGGTGCGCACGTGTGTGTGTTCTCTCTCTCGAAGGCTACGAGCTGTATGTGAGCCAGGCTAGCTGGCGCCGGTTCCTTCCATCACCTGTTGGGCCTGCTTCTGACCCATGCAGCACTGAGCCACCGATTGGAACAACCTGATGGACGACAGGGGAATATTGTCAACACATCAAAGCCAACAAGCAGAACTGGGAAGTATCCAAGTACAGTGGGACCTCGATTTCATGCCCCTGGAGCCATTGGACAGAAAATAGTGTCTAGTTCACTGCGTTTTAAGTGAACCCTTCTAAAGCAGCTGTTTAAGTCTGGTAGTTTCAGAATTGGCCATAATTGGTGCAGCACCAGTAAACAGCGCTGTGGCAGCATCAATAGAGAGTGTGGTGCTCACTTATAGATAAGGGCTCATATATATAATAGATAGGCTTACAATAGACTTGAGCGGGCTAAAAAAACACCATGCCAACATGTCAACCATTTTGGCAGGGGCAATGACCCCCCCCCCCAAAAAAAAAAGTAATGGAAAGCAATGGACATTTGGTCAGCACTGGTGTAGACACGCAGCTCAAATCATACATTCCTTTGTGATCACGGTCATACCTTAAGTACAATGTGGCCCTCGCCAAAAATGAGTTTGACACCCCTAGACTAAACCTACTTTTCAATCTCAGGGGCACAGTGCACAAAGTCATGGCTCCAGAACTTGAAAGCGGGATTCTTGATGAGCTCGATGAAAGTGATGAGGAGACCCCACGGGTGGGGCCGGTTCACAATCAGCCGCTCCAACAGGACCCTGTGTAAAAGGATGTGTTTTAGCAGTTGAATTTGTTCTGTGACCAAACCCACAACTATTTACTCAGATATCAAGTGAATTATCTCCATTGAAATGCAATTCATCATTTAATGACGTGATCGTGCCTGCACACGAGAGAGGAGCCGAACTGACCTGGTGATCTGCTCCTGGATGGCCTCAGTGTTTGCCTCGGCAAACAGATAGAGCATGGTGCAGCTGAAGTAATGTGTGTGGCTGTTCGGGTAGCGCAGCTGATTGGCAATGGCGTTCAAGAACAAATAACGTCCTGAAAAGCAGCACATACGTGTTTCAGTGTCAACTTTATGACCGCCCAGTCATGTGCGTGCGCCCAGCCAAGTTACCCTCTGTGTCCAGGTCCACAGCCAGGTTCTGGAAGATGTCCATGTGTGCAGAGTGGGTGATGGTGCTCATGGAGGGCGTGCTGCCCTTGTTGTGGATGTGCGCGATGGCCTGGGTGCCCACGTACAACACTAAAGCGTTGATCAGCTGGATGTTGTAGCGGTTTCCTGGCTCGTTCGAAACCTGACAGACAAACAGATTTTAGATTTCTAATAGCCCATTTCCCATGGGGGTAGGGGTGGTGCATGGGGGGACACTACCTGTAGATTGCTGCGCAACTCTGAAAGGAAAGTGACTGGCGAACGTGTTTTAAGATACGAGTCCAGATCCTTCTTGAACTGGGAAGGCATAACGGCTGTGAAGTTTGTGAGGATGCGAGGAGCGATGTTGATCTCACTCAGCATGTCCACCTGCACGACATCACAGACACTCAGCAAATGCAGGCAAAAACATCATTATGGAGTGGTTAAAGTCAACTAGTCTGTAAACCGCTAGTGTGCAACCGTTATCGGCCTGTCGTCTGCATGTGACAGCGCCTTCTACCTTGAGATTGGGAGTGAAAGGGTCAGGAAGCCTCATATTGCGTGGAAAGGCACTCAGAATGAGGTTGCGCAGCTGAATGCAGTTGGGTGGGATCACGTCACAGAACCCATAATGGTAATCGCACAAGAACTCTGGGAAGTCGTGCAACAGGACCAGCAGTACCCTCAGTGTGCCCTGAAAAGAAAATTAAAACAATTAGGGCTGAGGGAATCTGCGAACTTGGCTACACAAAAAATTGGTTGACAAATTTATGCCTCCAAACTATAATTCATCATTTGTAAACTTTATTTGGGCCACTCTGAAGCATATTTGGCCACTGTCCATGTTTACCGCACGGACGCACGCATTCAGTCAATGAGAAATGACTGCCAGTGAGAAATACAGAGAACGACAACAGACTGGCAAAAAAAAAAAAAAACGACGGGATGATGGAGTCTAAATAGGATTGTTAGCGACAGCCCTAAAACCAACACAAATCAAGAAACCATTGTGGAAATAAGATGAACACAAAGAGGAACAGAAAGCACACCTTGTAGAGGATTTGCATAGGTTTGTTGAGCTCTACATTCCTCAGGAAAGGTGCCAGGTACTTGAAGAGATCAATGAGTAATTGCGCATACATCGGCCAACCCTGGGAGACAACGAAACATTGAGACTCCAATGACATTTGCCATTCATTCATCTTCACTGCGGGAACATGGGAAGCTAACCTTCTGCTGTGGCGTGTGTGCAAGCATGCGGGCGATGAAAATGCGATGAGAAATCAGTTCAAGCCACGCGTACACAAAACCTGGTGCCTTGGTGGGTCTCAGGATGTGGAAGGTGTTGCTTAAAAGAAAGAAGGCAAGGTCAATTTCAGTAAAACAATCTTCCAAAGATGAGAGAGAGAGAGAGCCTCCTGCTCAGGCAGCTGGAGACGCCTGTCTTACCAGAAGGCGGTGAGCGTCTGGAAGTTGATGGTCTCCAGGACGTGCTCGGGGGCGTTCAGCTCCAAAAGCAGCATGATGAAAATGCGGTGGTAGGGCAGCTGCTGGAATTCAGTCTGACGCACATCATGATCCTGGATCAAAACCCCAACAACGATTCCCAGCACCTAATGGAGGAATGCAGAAGGTGCAGTTGTGGGGAGCGTATGGTAGATTTTGTTCACCAACTAGAAATGGATTAGCTCCCATTACGCAAGGAAGTTCCTGTGTAAATTCATAACCCAGGGAGGTCCTCAGTTGATGGCATGAGTGACATATGAGGTTACAAACAGGCATATGCAGTGTGGTATGAAAAACACGATCACGCAACAAGATACGCTCGGGTCGTGCCGAACTTGACGAAAGCAATTAACTGCCTGAGCCCATTCATACCCTAAGCCAAATTTCGACTTAAAAAAGTTTGGTTATGCTGCTGCCATTGGAACCAAACTCAATTGGAAATCTAGGATCACCCCCCACACGTACACAATGTACCTTGTTGAGGAGGTTGATCTTGGTCACAGTGTTGGAAGCTTCTCCAGAATGCTTGACAAGCAGGGCTATGAGTCGAACAAAGGCGTCCAGGTTGTGGTAGCACTTGGCTCTGATGATGGCTGCGCTGGCTGCTGGGTTGTGCTGCTGTTCAGCCTGTGCACGGTAACTGATCTCCACGCACATCTCGGTACATAACCGGAAGAAGCGCGTGATCAGGTCGTCCGTCTTCAGAATGCCTTGCTGGTGCATCTGAGTGGCAAAAAGTCAGAGACTATAAAGTCATAATCATGGTTATCTTTGCTCTTCAAAGAGTTGCTGAATACCTGGCCGACAAAGGCAGAGAATGCTTTGGTGCTGTCCCGGCCGGCAGCAGCCGAGTGGTACAGGTTGACCCATTCCCTCAAGAGATACTCTGCCTTCTCCCGTAAGCCGGGAGGATCGTCGTACTCCGAAGCCTGGGAGATCCCAGAGTGCATCATGAAGTTTGGACCACCGTGGGCCCGGTCAATCATGGCCTCGTAGTTGG